TGTGGTTGTCGTTGTTGTTGTCGTTGTGGTTGTCGTTGTCGTTGTCGTTGTCGTTGTCGTTGTCGTTGTCGTCGTCGTCGTCGTCGTCGTCGTCGTTGTTGTTGTTGTTGTTGTTGTTGTTGTTGTTGTTGTTGTTGTTGTTGTTGTTGTTGTTGTTGTTGTTGTTGTTGTTGTTGTTGTTGTTGTTGTTGTTGTTGTTGTTGTTGTTGTTGTTGTTGTTGTTGTTGTTGTTGTTGTTGTTGTTGTTGTTGTTGTTGTTGTTGTTGTTGTTGTTGTTGTTGTTGTTGTTGTTGTTGTTGTTGTTGTTGTTGTTGTTGTTGTTGTTGTTGTCGTTGTCGTTGTCGTTGTCGTTGTCGTTGCTGTTGTTGTTGTCGTTGTCGTTGTTGTTGTCGTTGTCGGTGTCGTTGTCGTTGTCGTTGTTGTTGCAGCTGCTGCTGCTGCTGTTGCTTTTGCTGTTGCTGTTGCTGTTGCTGTTGCTGGTGCTGGTGCTGGTGCTGTTGCTGTTGTTGCTGCTGCTGCTGCTGTTGCTGTTGCTGTGGCTGTTGCTGTGGCTGTTGTTGTCGTTGTTGTTGTCGTTGTGGTTGTCGTTGTCGTTGTCGTTGTGGTTGTTGTTGTTGTTGTTGTTGTTGTGGTTGTTGTTGTTGTTGTTGCTGCTGTTGTTTGTTGTTGCTGTTGCTGTTACTGTTGCTGTTGCGGTTGTTGTTGCTGTTGTTGTTGTTGTTGTTGTTGTTGTTGTTGTTGTTGTTGTTGTTGTTGTTGTTGTTGTTGTTGTTGTTGTTGTTGTTGTTGTTGTTGTTGTTGTTGTTGTTGTTGTTGTTGTTGTTGTTGTTGTTGTTGTTGTTGTTGTTGTTGTTGTTGTTGTTGTTGTTGTTGTTGTTGTTGTTGTTGTTGTTGTTGTTGTTGTTGTTGTTGTTGTTGTTGTTGTTGTTGTTGTTGTGCTTGTCCTTGTCCTTGTCCTTTTGTTCTTGTTCTTGTTCTTGTTCTTGTTCTTGTTCTTGTTGTTGTGGCGTTGGTGTTGGTGTTGGTGTTGGTGTTGTTGTATTTGCAGTTACTGTTGCTGTTGCTGCGCCTGTGGCTCTTGGTGTTGGTGTTGGTGTTGGTGGCGCGTCCCTTGTCCCCGCCTTCCTTGTTACAGATGCATGTTGTGTGCGTATGTTTTTGTCGTTGCCGCTGGATCGTCTTGTTTGTTGCGGCTGTCATGTTTGTTCTGGCTCTGTTCATTTTATCATGGCATGGCACAGCGTCGTAATAACGTTCAGTTTCAGTTGTTTTTGGCTTGTCGCCTGCAGAAGCTGACACAATTCTCTTGGGCTGGCTGGACTGGACGCAGCCAAGGTGGACAGATTGATGCTGGCTGGCATTTGCGCCAGGTTGCTTCAGATATTTTTGGCGGTGCCTGTGGGTTGGCTGGCCGACATTTACGGCATTGGCTTGGTGACGCTTGCAACAGCGATTGTGCAGATGTGCGCGGGCATCCCATTCTTTCTTGCGCTACAGTCTGATCCACTCAGCGCCACCAACGTCTTCGTCACATATGCTGTAGGCTGGGTTTGCCTTGTTTCAGCATCTTTCCCGTGTTTGTGTGTTTCATTCAACCTTCCTCGCACCAATGTCTGGCCAGTTTCGAAATTTGGACCCCCATTTGAGGTCGAAGCACGAAGGGCACAAACATGCAGAGATTGACAAATGTTTGTTGAGAGGAAGAGGACTTTGCACCTACTCACTCCCATGGCTGTCTTGTCAAGCAATCGTCCATTGAGAAATGGCCATAGCACCCAAGGCCATTCGATCGATGCAAGCTGAGCACTTGGTCCCAAAGGATGATGTTTCGCACATGCATAGCTGTTTGAATGTTTGTCTGGTTGGTGGGTTGCCTGGTTGTTTGGTTGTTTGGTTGGTTGGTCGGTTGGATCCAGGCTATGGCCTATTGGGGCTCGGGGGCATTGTGATTTTCATGTACTGCGGCGAGCTGTTCCCCACCTCGGTACGCAACCTGGGGGTCGGTGTGAGCTACTTGGAGCCGAGGGCTTCAGGGCAAGTCGGGGGTCCGAAGACGAAAACATGACTGCATATGCCAGAAGCTCGCCTAGGAGTTCGCTTTGACAATGTCAATTGAACAGTCATTGTGCCCTTTGGGGTTCATGGCCAAGTGCAAGGGCTTGGTCCTATTTTGTTGGACCTGCAGTGTTCTGCGGCCAAATGCAGGGTTAGTCTTGATTTTGGACCAAAGGGTCTAAGGCCTGTATATAGATTGAGTGCCGGGAGCTTACATTGAGAGCCGAAGGTGAGCTTACGTTGAGAGGGGAGGAGGGTAACTGTGTTTAACCCTGTGGTCGCTTTGCTTGTTGTTTGGCCTTCGTTGTTTGATTGATGCAAGCGCCAACACGTTGGAACCTCTAGTCGTGCATGTGAGCCACATGAGCGGACGTGGCCATCAACATGGCAGTTGGCCATTTGCAGCATTGAGTTCAAAGTAATGTCGACCCCCGATCAATAAGCTCCCCTTTATCAAGACTATCCTTTTGCCCCCCCCCACCCTCGCCCGACTGCCAGCCAATACTTAAATTGGCCCACAAGGTTTGGCCAAACGACACCCCTTAATCATGGGCCCGCTCATGTATTTGCGGCAGCGAACAAACCCCCCATATCGAAGACTGTCCCCCTCCAAATCCCAGCATGACACAACAATTCAATGATTAATTTACAAAAGCCGTTGCCAACACTTCTGCCCATTCCAACTGCTTTCACAGTCTAGAGTCTTAGGGTTGCTTTTCCAAAGGCGAAGACGGAACCAACAGCTAGCCGGAAACAGCAACTTTCGTAATACATGTCGCAAACAAGTCAAGGTAGACGCCCACAAAGGGTACCCCCCTTGAAGGTCAGCTCTTGCCTAAAGAATACAACAGCCCCTTAATCCTGGCACTCAGCCCGAGGGGAAAGAAAGCAGCTTGTTACTTTCCTTCGGCAAGGACTGAAGAGGATGGCAGAGGGCCGGATTAAATGGGTGCCTGTCCTGGGAGAGTCAAGTGTTTATGAATGTTGTCGATCTCGGGGGAGGGTATTAGTCATGATCATTAGTCAGCATTAAGCAGTGACATTCCATGTTTAGTTGCGATTTCCAACATGTTGAATCACGCTGCACATGACAGAATCCCCAACCACAGCCGAGGCTACAACATCGGCTTCGGCCTGTGCGGCGGCTTGTCCCCGTTGCTTGCCGAGGCAGTGAGTCCAAGCCCGTGAAAGCGAGGGTTCCTTGAATCGGACTGTGCAAAGCAACAAGGCCTGAAACAAAGCGTCAACATGTCTTGACTGGTTTCAACATGTCTTGGGGCCACGCTTCCGTTCGAGCTCGCCCGTGGCAGTGCGGCTGGCAGCGCCTGGGAGGCTCAAATTCCGTAAATGCCTGCAGTCAGTTGTTCGGTGGCCACCCTTTTCCCCCTTTTTTTTGGTGCGGTGCCCCACTAAAAATGGCCTTCCCCAAAAAGAATGGGTTCCCCTTTTTTTCCCGGGTCACTGAACCCAGTTCTGTCCAGGAGACGCTGAGCTGGTGCCCCTGGGGCCCCGGCGTCATGCTGTCGGTGGCGGGCGCCATCACGACCTTCACGGTGCTCGCGTCGGTGGCGTGCCAGCGCCGCGGCTGGGTGCGCCTGGCGCACGTGCGGCCGGACCCCTATATGGGCACCTGGGCCAAGGGCGCCTGGGCAGAAATTGGGGAAGTCGGGTACGCGGAACAACATGGCCCCCTTGGAAGGGAACAGATATGGTGATTTTTGGCAATTGGTCTCCAGCTTGAATGCATCGGCTTGCTTGGAGTTCAAACAATTCCCATATTGGTGACTCGGCGCATATTTTTTTTCGGACGGGCCCTTGATTGTTGATTTGCTGTTCATTGCATTTGCGCTTGGTATCAGTTTGGTACTGTGTGTAGTGGTTGTTGCCAGCCGCGTGCAGTATCTACGTTCATGTCGCCTTTGATCCCTTTACACAACCCATACTCAATGTTGATTGATGCCCTGCTGATAACATATATATATATGTACATATACATACACGTTACATGCGTTGTCATTGTGTCATTGTGCATTGGAATTGTATTGTGATATTGGTAAGTCTCAGTATAGTCCTTGCATTCTTCTTATGTCGACCCCTTGTTGTGAGTATTTCCTGCGCTCTCCTTCATGCCCATTTGCTCTTCTTCTGGTCCATTTCAGTGAAAACATTCCGGGAAGTGCGTTTTGGCTTTTGTTTTTTGTTTTTTTTTTATTGGCCACCATTTAGACACAGAGTTGCAGGGTGTCATTCAATGCGGCCCCCCAGCCAGTGAAAGAACAAACACAGTTTGAATTCCAAGGGTGCACAGGCAGCCACTCCATCCCCAATGGTGTCCCGCAGCCACTCCATCCCCAATGGTGTCCCCAAAAGAGAGAAAACCTTGATGAGGCTCAGGTTTTGTGGAGGGCACACAAGGCTGGGGTGTTATGGAGGCTTCAGGGGGCCAGCCGGCAAGTTGCAAGCTTGCTCCTTGAAAGGTGATTCCTGAGGTGTCGAACTGTTGACTTTTTCTTCGGTTTTCATACGATGAAGGCCCCTGCTGTCCTGTTCGGAGATTCCGTTCAGTGTGGCTTGCCCGAGGTGCCGCGAGCTTGGAATAAGCGATTTCAAGCCAATATTCGAGCAACCTCGTTGGGCGGCTGGGGAAAATGTGTCAGTCGCGCTAGGGCTGCCGATTTCTTTCACAAATCACCTCGCTGCGTTGACTTGATGGCTGATCTTGTATTGCGAGTTGACAGACGAAGGCTGTGTCGGCCATGGTTGACGGGCCAGTCACTTTCTCAGCAGGCTTGCAAGCATAATTGTGGATGCACGGCATGAACCATTTGCAGAAATTAGTTCATAATTTCAATTGTTGCAGATGCGGGAACTGCAGTTATCATTTTGCAGGCACAATCGGAACGTCTGACATTTGATTTGCATGCTTGCGGAATTTGAAAGTGCAGGACGACTCCAGGGGGCGCTACACCCTTGTATGTGCCGGGGCCCGCGAGAGGAGGGCACCAGCTGGGTTATGCCAGATCGTGGTTTCCCTTTCTGCTGTACATTCCAAATTAGAGGGGTGCGTCCGACATGACATGTAGGTTTGAGAGGCTCGTGCAGATCTGTTGGAGTGCCTGTTGCATGCTTCAGACACTTTTGACATGCCTGATGCAGTTTTCTGAACAGGGGAACAGGAGTGCAGGATACATGCAAACCAGCCCCTGGGTTTGATTTCAACATCTACCTCCGATCATGTCACGTCCTCCCATGCATATCGCCACAGAAGCTCTACTTGGCTAGGCTGGGAGATTCAAAACTTCACAAGTCTTAAACAAAAAGTAAGGAACCTTTATGATGGGCGCGGTGAGCGTGTTCTGATTTGGGCAGACTTGAGTGGTTTCCGGCGGATGTTTGCGGCTCCCGTCTTTGCATACGCTTCCTCCCACAAACGTGCCTCCTGATGATAAGAACTCCCTTCAGGAGGGAGAAAGGGTACTGAGTTCACTGGCTCATGCCGCCGCCAAGCAGAAAGGAGCCTCTACCACAAATCAGCATGACATTGTTTGCGGAGAACACAGCGAACTTTTCTCAGTATGCTGGGGGTGTGTCTTTCTTTTGAGAACCCTCTTGTGGTTGTTTTAGCGGGAAACCAATCGGACACCAGCCATTTTTTTGTTGGGGGGGTCCCAAATTTTGAGACACACCCATGTCGTTTGCGCAAGCACAACAGTTGGTGTTGTTAGTTGTGTTTAGATGTAGCGCAAGTGATTCGATTCAATTCTAACCATCCGCAACTAGTTGTGGGGAGCACAACATCAACATACGAAAACGGTTCGCTTTGGGTCTCAGAAACTTGAAGTATGAAGGTCCCAGCAAGGACACTTAGACAACAGTAGACCTGCCTACTGGCAAGGGGGGTGCCCTTCACGAATACAGCTGAGGTCCTGCTACAATGGCCACTTGCCGATTGTGCAGTACCTTTGCTCCCAGCGGTCAGACCTGTGCAGGAGGCGGAGCGAGATCCGTCAGCTTGGGATACAGCGTGATGTGTTAGACAAGCATATGCCGAAAGCACGCGAGAGCAGAAACCAGCGAGGATGGGGAAAAATCAACCGTGGCCACACAGTATCCTGCCGTGCATCTGAATCATGACGTTTGGTTTTTGGTCCATGTGCGTCAAGTCGTTGGCCATGTTTTCAAGTTTGGACCGCCCCTACCCCCCGACACACGCCTCTAAGGAGCAGGTCATTGCCGGGCAGCCCGTTCTGACGTGCAACCATATTCGGTTGCCGTGTTCATATAGATGTGTTCGAACTGGAATGGTTTTCGACAACAGACAACGTCTTTGAACCTTACGACATCAATGTATGACAAGCAGGACCATCAACCTGTCCCCTTGAACTCAAGCGTCAAGAGGAGCCAATTCTGTGACATGTGTTGGCAGGACGACGGCAAAAATCGATCGTACTATTGTCACCAGATGAAAAGTTCTCTAAGGGCTTTTGCAACAGTTCGATCACATTGATCAAAGCCGAACTCTTGGACACGTCCACAAGAGTTGCAAGGTACTCTGTCCCCTTGCAATTCTAATTGGCGACACGGTGTGCAGCTTTGCTGCAGATTCCTCATTATGTCCCGAGTCCGTTTCAATCCTATGGTTTCATTTGAGCCTAGTTGTACTGGATGCCCAGGCTTAATTCGCCTGGTTGGTTCACTTCGGGGGAAGATGCATGACTCACGCGTTTGGAGGACGCCAACGGGGGCCACGCTCCTGCACGCGGCAGCTCAGGAGGGCCAATTGGAGGCGGTGGATGCCAGACATCGACACGCTACACATAATGACATACGCGCAGAATGGATATGCTTTGATATATGCATGGGTATATGTGCGTCTATTGCACACACAGTAATCTATATATGTTAGTGTGTGTTTTTGTACGCAGACAAAAAAATACATATATATATATATATACACGCATTTACATAACACATATATATATATATACATATACATATATACATGCACTATGCATAAGCACACCCGCACGCACGCACGCACATAATATACTTTGCATGGGAATTTGCTCTCTAATTTGGCTTGCTTGTGTCAGTAAGTGCAGCACATGACTCGCGCTGATGACAGTTGTGACTGCTGTGCATCTGGGTCAATGTGTGCTTTTTGACCTGACAGGGTCCTCTCGTTTCGGATGAGTGGGCCTCTGTTTTTCACCTTCTCCGAGGGACAAGCATTGAAAACGCACGAGTTGAGAACTTGACAGGAGAACGGACTAGCTTCAAGCCAAACAGCGGCCCAATAATTCGTGTTTCCCAAAAATGACTCCCGAACCGCGGCTGTGCTGAAAGCCACACATGGCAGGGGGGATGTTCTGTTTTCTTGGCCCATTGGCGCTTCCATGCCGTTCAATGTGGCAGGTGGTGGCCTTTCTGTGTGAAATGCCCGAGGTGGACAAGGACCTGTCGATGGTGAGGGTTCGACGGGATCGAAATCCCCAGTCGTTCAGTGAGTTCAGCCCCAAACGTGTTCCCTTGTAGCTGGGTATGATTGCCGAGAAAACGACTCCCATTGACTTGCAGGGCCGCGGGGCCGCGTTGGTGTTTCTGTTATTGTTGTTCAAGCTTTCTCCCTTGGGAGTAAAGTAGTGTGCGGCCAGAACACCAGTCTGTCAAGTTGAATCTGCTGCAAATGCATGAATAGTCTACTTCTTGAACTAAATATGGGGGATGTTTTTTCTCCAACAGGCAGGTCAGCATAGCTATTCCTTTCTATCGTGTGAAGTGGGAGACGTAGAGCAACCCCTGGAGCTTCCTGGCGCACAGTTTGCGAGGACTCCCAAATGCACGACGGCGCCACGCCGCTGCTTGCCGCGGCATTGCAGGGGCGTGTGCGGGTCGTGCCCGAGAGCCCAGGGTATTCGAAACCGATTCCAACGAATCCATTGATGAGCTGCAAATTGCAATGTAACAAGGACATTGAGATTTGGTGCTGCCACTCGTTCGGCTTAGTTGAATGACGATGGCGGACAGGCACGGCTGACCTGACTTTTTGCTGTAGAACTGCGGCCACCGTTTTTCGAGTCGGCCGATGTGTCAAGGCCAGAGGTGTGGCCGGTTGAGCTTCAAGAATTAGCCAATTGATTGCTGACTTTCCAAGGATGGACGTGAATCATGTACGAAGATGAGTCCAGATTCAATCATACTGGAACTATGATACTTGGTACAATGTGATATCGTGATATGCGGTGATGTTGAGTGACGGCGTCAAGGCTGTGCAGTGATTTGATATCGCAGGCAGCGGGTGTGTCAAAGCAACAAGTCTGACTACAAACATAATGCTATTGAAAGTGAGCCGCTCTGGCGTGTTGAGGATCCTGGCCCCATCTCACAACAGGGATACACATTTGTGGCGGGCTTTATCCCGTTTGTTTCTGTGATTGTCAATGTCTGTTTATCAGGGTTCATTCATTCGTTGCGTTTTGAGCTTGCATACGTGGCGTATGCAAGCTCAAAATGTCCCGGATATTGGAGGGGTTCTTCTTGAACAAGCATGCTGGGTGCCCTAAGAACCAGGCCCCGAATTCATGACGTGCTTGTGTCGGCTCCAAGGCCCTGCATCTTGTTACCGGGACTAGAATTCGAATTGCGTGTTCGCAATGTGGCATGCGGAGCTATGTGAGAAGAACTCGTACTTGCCAGATCTTACCTGCTTGACTATCCGACTATCAGGGTATGGCACTGGGGTTCCATGTGAGTCCAAAGAGATACGTCGCCCAGGGAGCACCTCACGCGGGTGAAAGCGGACATCCACAAGACCACGAAGGCTCGGGGCACTTGTGGCGCCTCTTAGCGGAACGGAGCCGACCGAATCCTGTTGGCTCCCCTGCATCCCGAAAAAAACAAACAAACTCGCAACCCAGGCAGTTTGAATAGGCATATCTCAAAACTCGCAATCATATCTCAAAGCGCGCAATGTGGGTGGGCTCGGTTGTGGTTTGTCAGTACTTGGCGCAGCGCAGATTAACTTTGAGTTTCGTTGAGGTCAGGCATGCGGTTCGATGAGTTTTGGGCACTGCCAAGCAAAACGAGCAAATTGAAGATCCATGCATTGAATTGGCGGCGAAACTGCCTGGGCGCGTGCACGTGCCAACGATGCACTGTTTTACGTAGACAGGGGATGCCAGCATCACTGAGGAGGTATGGAGCAACTCTCGCTTCCTCTTATGAGATATTGGCTTAGGTTGGCAGCCAGCTGAAGCAGAGGCCGCCCAAGATCTTGGTCTATTGGTCACGGCAAGGAGGATTCACTCCCGAGGTGGGCTTATCCTCGGACATCCACTGCTGAGATGGCTATTCAAGATCAATGTACCATTACGCCAAGCACACCAAAATATGGCTGTGGGTCAAAATTGAACAGGAGGGGTTACGCGGGTTTTGGGGGTTACGCTGGTTTTGGTCCATGTTTCCACTTACCAGGGTTCCATTTTGGTACCGGTTTTTTGAGCCACAGCCATATCTCAGGGTGGGTAATGTGAATGCCATTTTGAGCATCACCTTTTGCGCGCTCGGAGCAGGGCTCCAAGTAGATGATCCTGCCCGATGATTTCGATGGACCCTTGCAGAGTTTGTTTAATGGCAACTTGCTATATGAGTAGAGCTGGTCATGATGTCACTAGCGTTGAATCTGCGCAAGGCTCAATGGAACACTTGGAAAACGATTTCGATCAATAAGGCTTCCTGTCAGGCTTGACGTCGGCCCAATGTTTAACGTGGTCCGCCCGAATCAGGATGGCGCGTCGGCTTTGCACGCTTGTGCCCGCAGGGAGCCTCGAGAAACGGGGGTTGGGTCGCCTCGGTTGAGAGGACCAGGGAAGCAAAGAGCAATCTATATATATATACTATGCCATCAGCTTTGTTGAGATTACCAGGGACTGAAGATATGTTTATTTAAAGACAGTGTACGGGGACTGCCTACGTTTCCATTGGCCACGGAAGGATGTTTAAAAAAAAAGCAGCGCGTTGCCTTCAGGGAGTTGCAGTCAGAGGGCACCTTCCAACATTTCGCGCCATTTGTAGGACCACTCCGGGTTCCGCAAACAATGTCAACTCTCCGAATGCTTCCCCTTTACATTGTCCAAGTCCCTTCCAAGGGTCAAACTGAGAAGCTATAGAGTGAGATACAGATTGTCCAGGTACCATTCCCTGATTCTTCAGGTACCCTTCCCAACGGTATGGACCAAATTATGCACTAGTGCGGATGGATAGAGCATGATAGAGCCATATCGAAATAAGTTCGCACCCAAAGAATATTGGGATAAAGCCCTTCCAATTCACCTGCTACATTTTGCCCCGAGTCCAAGGCTCCGGGCACCTAGAGGTGGCCCGCTTCTTGTGCGAGGCAGGCGCCGACAAGGACGGGGTGCAACCCGGGGTGAGCTGTGAGTGGTCTGAAGGCTTGGGGTAAGTTGCTGGAAAGGACAAGCAGAGCTTGGCTTTTGTTGGAATGATCTATGGCGCTTCTTGAGGCTATTCATTGGAACCGGACAAACATGGGGAGAGGTTACAGCTAGAACGAGTGGGCACTGGCATCTTGGGATGGGTCCTAATTCAAAAGGAACTGGCTCATGCAAAGAAGCGTGAGAAACAACCAAGCCGCAGGAGAAACATGGACAACACGTTCTTTCCAGGCACGCCAACCATGGATTGTTGAATTCATCAGGCAAGTTCGTCAGCGGGCAGTGGGCCATGGTCGGGTCGGGCTGTGGCCAGGACCGCGCCATGATGGAAGGTGCCACGCCCTTGCTGGCTGCGGCGCTGCAGGGCCATGCTGAGGCCGTTTGGATGGCCGCAAGAGAGGGGCGTTTGAACCGGTTGCGCCCAGCAGAGGATGGCTGGACTTATGGGCATGGCTCCTTGGTCGGGCATGGGTAAAGTCTAGCAGACCTGAACTGAGAGCATGCTTGAGCCGACACGCGCCGGAATTCCCAGCTTCAGCTTGATCCAGCAGAGGTCCGGCAAAGAACAATCGCCAGGAAGAGCCTGTGAATCTCCAGCAAGCAACAAATACGAGAGTGACAGGTGACAAGCAGAAAGTTTACAGGTCTTCTTTAGAGGTAGCACACCAACATGCGTTGAGTCCCACGTCCCATCGCACCCCCGGCAGCTTGAGTGCCTTCATCCGCATTATGTGAAGCACCCTCCCAATCTATCGCGCTGTTGCAATCAGTATGAAACAGCCTTCTTACCAGACAAGCACAAGTATGCATGTCGAAGCCATTCATCGCAGTACTACACACTCTCTCAAATGCTGCACGGCTAGCTTTCGGCATTCCAATGGGATGAGGAACGAATGTCATGTTCCGCCATGTTCCGTCACTTCAGTGGCTCACCTTACCACTATCGACGAAAGTCCTATCCAGAATGAGATCCGAGCGATGAATGTTTCAGATAATGGCGGCTCTTGTCATGAAGTCCCATGTTCCTGCAAATCCAAAGCTGGTTGCATGGCTATCGGTCCTTTCAACCTTCGACCCCCCATTGAATTTGACTAGGTCCTCCAGTAGTGCCCTTTTCCCCTTTTTGGGGGGAGGGTTCCCCTACTAAAATCCACTACAGAAAAAAGGGTACCCTCGTGCTAACCTATCTACTGGAGGACCTAGTTGATGCTACACGGAGCCAACAAAAAGCCAAAGCGCCGTTTCGGACGTCCCATCTGCAGCTTCCACTCCGTTTAACGATGCGGCTGGCGCGCGGCTGGCCCTCCATCGCCGCGGAAGTGCAGCGCTATGGGGCGATGCAGTCACACCCGCAGAGCATCGAACACGTTCTGCGCCTGGGCATTTGTGTTGCTTCGGAGCGGATAGCCCTCTGCAGATTCATGTGGAATCCCCGAAGCCCATAATTTTAGAGGACTCTTTTTTTGGGAGGACCCCCTTTTATTGGGTTCTATGTTTATTTGAAGAGGAGTACACCCTGATCATGATGTACCACAGTTCCCTATGTTTCCGCTTTTGGTGGTTTAAGTATCGCCTTTCGGGCCAATGTGAGTTCCTTGTGGAGTGCTTCAAGAGAACAGGGAACCCTGTATTACCTTGAACCCACGGTGCCAGGCGCCACAACATCCTTCCAATTCAAGGGGTGAAGCCCACGAGCAGTACACTCCATGGTATCCAAACAAGTGCCGCAAGAAAACTATTCAAGAACTTGCTCGTTGTTCCACCTGAGCCACAATTAAGACCCGGGTAGATCCATTTTTATTGAGCAAGAGGCCTAACCTTAGCTGCCTCACTCCGTACGCTTTGACGTTGAATCTGGCAGTTTAAGAGACTTATCCCACAAAGCGGTGTTTTGCGGTGTCTTGAGTCTTGACTATAGGACTACAAGTGTTGACGCAAGCTGGGGGTTCAGGCTTTGACTGACTTGCATGTGAGTGGTGATGGACCTAAGTCGTGGATGAGGCCGCAAAGCAATGCTGAGAAGACTCCAGTCCCCAAATGAGTTTTGCTGAGCCGGACATGAGTAAGAAGCAACATGCAAGCAAGGACCCAAGTACACTGTTCCATGTCTGCACATGTCCTGTCTGCAGCTAGGGAACGGACATTTACCCTCATACATGACTCATGTCCAACCTAGCAGAGGGTCCCTATGAAAGGAAACTTGTCTTCCAGGACCCGTCAGTCAGGATCCATGCCAAAGCACACACCTTGCCATTTCGTGAGACGTGATAGTTGATTTAGCTGCGTTAGTTTATCTAGTCCATAGGTGTAGGTACCGAGGTTTTCATGGCTTGACTCGGCTCAAGGAGCTTCAGAAGTCCCGAGCAGCTCGCAGAGTTCTTACAGCGAGAGTATCCCATCCGCGTCTTGGCACGTTTCAAGAGTTGACTTCCGGTGGGTAAAGACTGGGATGTTCCCTTGAGGACTTTGGAAAAGCTGGTCCCTGGTTGGAACTGTACCCTCAATGAGCATGTCGTCTCGGTGTGCAAGTGATCTCTGCGTGTAGCCAGGTGGCCTTCAATACAGTCATTTGGCAGTAGCTTCAGCTTGCATCGATTTGCGCCTTTTGCTTTTTGGTTCACCCGCAGCAGCCAATCAAGTCCGGAACCCGGGAGTGTCCAGAGAACATACACGGAAGGCGTTTGATGCTCGAAGAAATCAGCACTTAGATCCCATCTCACCAAGGCTACCAGCCTCCCTCAAAAATCCCTCAAACATGCCTCAAAAACCTCTCAAAACCTCTCAGAATCCACCGTTCCCCAGGCTGCGCGGAGCGGCTGCTGATGATCGAGGCACTGCCCTGCTGGCGCGACATCCCGCCGCTGGCGGAGGTGCACCGCCGGCATCTGCGCGGCTTCGAGGCGGTGCTCAGCGGCGCGAGCTTTCCCAAGGCGCCAAGCTCTTTCAATCGAAGTGGACCCGGGGGTGGGTGGGTGGGTGGGTGGGTGGGCGGGTGGGTGGGTGGGTGGGGTGGGTTGGGGGGGCAGGGGGGGTCGTTTGTGAGTTACTCCTTGTTTGGGTTGTTTCAAAGGAAAGGGACACCAGACGTGCAGGGGAGACATGTGTGGAATGGCTGACACGGCCACTCAGGCGGTGGATGATATCGTCAGCAACAACAAGGACGTTCCTGGATGCAATGGTGCGAAATGTGATGAGCTGTGTTGAGTTGTTTGATAGTTTGCATGTTGCTTGCCTGTTGCCTGCTGCCTGGCTGCATGCCTGCCTGCCTATGCCTGCCTGCCTGCCTGCCTGCCTGCCTGCCTGCCTGCTTGCTTGCTTGCTTTGCTTGCTTGCTTGCTTGCTTGCTTGCTTGCTTGCTTGCTTGCTTGCTTGCTTGCTTGCTTGCTTGCTTGCTTGCTTGCTTGCTTGCTTGCTTGCTTGCTTATTTGCTTGCTTATTTGCTTATTTGCTTGGTTTCTTGTTTGTTTGTATGCTTGTTCGCTTGTTACGTGCACACTGCAGTTTCTTTGTTTAACTAGTTGTTCGTGTGTGTGCTTGTTTACAGTTTGTTCGTTCGCTCGTTCCTTCGTTTGTTTGTTGGCTTGTCCTTTTATTGGTTTGTTGTTTTACATGTGAAAGGTGATTCCGCATGTAGTGTACACACGGACCAATGTATGTATAGCAGTTACAGTTAACAGCGGAGACTCCGGAGGCATGATTTGATTCGGCGGCCCTAAGATACTCCTGACAGGGTTTCCTGCCTTTTGATATTGGCACAGATGTGAGTGTGTGCGTTTGTACGCGTTTATGTGACTCCTCACCTGGTTTAGTCTACTCTGTGGCCCCAGAAATTTGATCATCCACGACTTACTGTGTTTTGCAGGTCTTTTGCACAAGTGAGGGAATCATAATATTGTTTGCCCAAGCCTTGTCTCCCATGCCCTAAATTAGACAGAATCACTTGGCTGCTTCTGTTGTTTCTTATTTCAGTGCGAAACTGAGAAGAACACAGGTCGTGTCGCTCATGGCAAAGAGCGCCCACGCATTGGCAGAAAAAGACGCGGAAGTGTACACGAAAGCATATGTGGACAGCTTCCTGGACCGGTTCCTGCTCAACCGCATCGGGAGCAATGTCCTCCTGTCGCAACTCGGTGCTTCATAAGCTGGGAAACCCTTTCGACATGATGTACGTGGGAAACCCGAGCCACGCGGCCCGCATATTTCAGGGTGGTTACCAGAAATCATCGCCCCTACATTGACATAGCCAACGGTTGTCGCTGTTTGACATGACTGGCCGCAGGCACTACCTGGCAATGTTGGATACGCGCACCGTCGGTGCTGTAGACCCCCAGTGTCATGTTACTGAGATTTGCCGCGACACAGTGGATGAAGTGAGACGTATTTGCGGCCATTATGATCTGGAGTCGCCGTACATGAACATCGAGACACATGATCAAACTACAGAAGACCTTGCTGACCTAAGCTTTGCCTTTATTCCTGGCATCATTGGCTACATACTGCAAGAGCTGCTGAAGAATAGCTGCCGCGCTACCTTAGAAGTGGCACCCAACGATCTTGCTAGCCATCCGATCAACGTTGTGATCTGTGGGGATCACAAGCGGGTACTGATACATGTGAGCGATCGAGCAGGCGGCATTCCATTTGACGTGGGTCAGCACATTTGGTCCTATCTTTACACGACTGCTTTGAAGGACAGATTGCTTGGACCGTGTCGAGCCAACATGTACGAGTGTGTGTGTGTATATGTGTCAAGATCAAACAGCTTGGGACTTGCCCCTTGTGATTCATTTGCCTGGATGTTTGCCGCATGGATCGGTCTGTATCAAGCTGACTTGCAGAATATGTCATTTGAAGTTGGGCAACAACAGCCAATCATTCAAATATTTATCACAGACGGCTTTCTATTGCAGGTCTCACGCGTTTCTAAGCCGTTTCGCTCTCCAGGAGAAGAGCTTCTTGGCGGGGTATGGCATGGGGTTGCCTTTGTCGCGACTCTACGCCAACTACCTGGGGGGCTCCTTGGACTTGGTGTCGCTCCCCGGGTTCGGGACGCACGCCTACATCCTCTTCCCAAGGTTGAATTCGGAGCTGGTGGAAACGGTGCCCGACCAAGACCGCCCCTGGACGAGGACGGGACGACTTACGTTGAACCTAGGACCTAGGACAGGTTCCTGCAACAAACATCAACTTGTCGTGTTGATGGCTTGATTGGCAACCGCGCTGTGGAACGGCGACAGCTGGACTAGAAAGGCCATCAATTGTGATGATATATAATACTATATATATATAGATATAGATACCAGTGCCTTGAAAACCAGCTTGGTTACCTCTTATATTTGTAACTGGCCGGTGTTCCCAGAACAACAAAAAAGGCTACACAATAGAGGGCCGTGAAAAAGCACGATATTGGAGTCAGGTTCTCTCTTTGTTGGGAACCGAGCTTGGTTCCTTCAAACAAATGCAACCATGGGCCGGGTACTAGCTATACAGGTTGCCAGGAAGCACCATGAACGCACACACGCACACACCACACGTTTCAGCAGTGTAGTGTCAGTAGCAGCGGTTTACATTGCTGAACTCAACATCCAGCCCAGTTGCATTCAATGAAACATCAGCCTTTGACACGGCTGAACCCGGCCTTACCAGAGTAGGATTTCTGACTGTGTGATCAGAGTATGGATGTGAAATGGAGTTGGCAGAACATTGACAGAGCACGATTCCTAACAAGGGTCAATGTGGCCTGAACTGGCACATGACCCAATTACTGAAGACGCATGCCACAGTGTCGCGCAAGCTTTGCAGGAAAAGCGTCTTCCTCCAGTGACATCAGCGTTTCTTCACTTGGCCAGCGAGGACTAGCTGAGCATAGTTGCGGGAGACGACCAGCAGCCGCTTTTTACGGGAACCGCTGCAAGAGAACCACTGCGTAATAGGTCAGGTTTGAACTCTTGGGAAGCCCAAAAATCCAAGCGAGGCGTGACCTGGTTTTGAGGCTTTCTCTGACAGCCATTTGAATGCTCCGCCATGCGATACCTAAATGAGTGGTCCAGTTCGGATAGCTGATTCAGGTGCTCGAAAGTCTACAAGGCGGCCTTTGTTTGCAGGCCTTCCGCCTGATGATTGTTTCAGATTTGACGTTTGCAGGGCGCTGAATTTCGACGCTGCATGCCGTTCCAGGCTTCGCATGCCTATTGGCTCGCGGGCAGTTCCTGTTTGCAGTTTCAGCACGTTTCTCCTGCGTACAATTTCAATATTGGAAGTCTATGACCCACAAGTGGTTGTTTTTGAAGTTCGACGTTTGAAGGCGAACCAGTGGAAGTTGGCAACAGCCTTTCCTGCTGCTGCAGTGGATTAATTACAAAGCGGATCTCTGAAGATGCTCATCTGGCTCCCCATTGCTTCGTTTGCAGGAGTTAGTCTGTGACTAGGCATTCATACGTTGGGCCAGTTCTTCCACGTCCCTTATCCACTGCGGGGAAATTCATGAGGATTCACACACTGACAAGAAGTGAATACAATGTAAACAATCATTAATCTACATATATCAATATTGTTCGATTTGTTTGTAGCATTGGGGAACCCCAAGCTTATTCAGACAAGAGCACGGTGACAGGGAAGAGACAAGCATTCTCATGAAAACTTAGGACATCTCCCTCAATTGCGAGGATTATTTGTTACCTTTAAGATTCTAGAGAGGAGATAACGGAGAATGAGAACGGCTAAAGTCTTCCTTCACCTGTTGCTGTCCATACTTGGCCCAGAATCCAAAGTCCCTCTGCCGGGCGTTTTCTAGTCGCGTATTTGGGTTCTGATGATGCACCGTTCAACCATGCCGAATGCGCGAGCATGCGCCAACTGAGCCGTTGTTCGCCAAGCACTTGCTTTGAAGAAAGGGCAGGAAGGGTGACATCGCCGCCCACCAGTTGGCCGAGAGTGCAACAGAGTGCTTGCGTTTCTTTGCTTGCCGCGCATGAGGCAGGGGTTTTAGAGTGTAAGCTTGGCTCAGTCTGGGCCAGTTCGTTGTTTCACTTTCACAAGACTCGACACTGTTGCATCTTCCGCACAACCCGCAACGGTGGGCTGATGTTGCCTGGGTGGGTGGGTGTAAATCATAAATACGGGGCCCCATCTGTGTTGGATGGCTTTGTCTTTTAGAGGGACCCACTGCCACTGCTATGGGCTTGCCATTTCGGGCCCTGGGTGGGTGGCTTTGTACCGGGAAAAGAAGCCACGCACCACGCACTGGGAGTTTTTGCCTCCGATCGTGCTTCCGCTTCAGGTGGTTCAGTACCTTTGCGAGGCTGGTGCGGACAAGGACCTTGCGCCCGCAAGCACAACTCGCGTCAAGGGATGCCTTTTGTGAAAGCCGAACAATCATTTACCGTCCTTACGAATCGAAACCGCTGAACCCGATTCTGATTTCGCACGCCATCGTGGCGGGGCAGGACCGGAGCATTTGCGACGGCGTCACCGCCTTCCATGCTGCCGCGGAGCTGGGGACCAAAGGGATTTGAAAAGACGCACCAGGCCCGGTTAGGCGCCAAAGATTGAATTAGGCTGAGTCGAACCCTAGTCACTTGAAAGCTGGGGACAAGCGCTGAACTAAACAATCACAAAGCGGTCCTATCAGTTTCCATTCTTGGAAAAAGAGCCCTGGCTGGGTTGATGAACCTTGTGAAGCCAGGCACAGTTCTTTTGTAACATCAGTCATTGCGCCTCAGGCGGGGACATGCAGATGTGATCCGATGCCTTTGCGAGGCCGGTGAGCTCGCCATTTGGGCTCGGGCCAAATGGCGACAAATTTATCCATGAAGCCTCTGAAAAGTACAGAAATACCAGCTAAACGAGGATTGACCGCGTTTATTCGAAGGATTGCATATCGTTTGGTTGTTGGATATCTGCTTCCAGTCTGTCAACTCTGCCTCAAAAGGTTGGCTTGAACATGACAAAAGCCAGTTGGCAAGCCGCCCCTCTCAAGTTTTGGATCAAGTGCTTTGCTGTTCTGGGTATGATGATGTGGAAGGCTTCCCGCCATTTTTGTCGCAGGATGCGTAGCGGAAAAGAGGGGAAGGTTGGCACTCAAGAGAAGACATGGTTGGAAGATAGGAATCGTCTGCAAGCAAAGGAAAGGTACCACTGCTTAAGCCGTAGTTATCATCAAGTGATCATGTTTTAGATTTAGCCTTTGTTCTTCATGTTGGTGCAGGCATCTGTTGCAATACCTGTTCTTGGACCCCAGATCTGTGCTCATCCAACTTTTGCGTAGCTAGATATCACCGGCAGCAGGCGAGCAATTGAAGCAGAAACTCAGGGTCTCCAGCGACAGGACGGAAAGCGAAGATGTTACAGCTGCCCAGGCAAGAGAACGGAGTTGTGTGTTGTACCGTGCATCACCTGCATGTTGAACACACTGGTTGATATTATTATGTTGCTTCAAATTGGTATCATCCTGCCAATCTGCACCAATTTATTTGTGCTCCAACGCTGGCCCAGGGCATCACCACCTTTCGCCTCCCGACCAAAGCACCACTTGGCACGCGCTTGGCACGCGGAAGGTGGGCGCCAACAAGGACCAGGCCATGCGGAACGGGCTCACGCCGCTGATGGCTGCATGCCTCCAAGGCCACGAGGAGGCCGGGATCGGAGCGAACGCCTGCGGCACTAATCCCATGGCTTGCGTTGTCACTGGCAGAAGTTGGTACCCCCAGGCCTTGACTCTCGCGCTTTTCAAAAGTGTAGCGTTGGGGTTCCTTGTACTCCTGCAAAGAGAGAAAGTCGATTCACAGTGGCTGGAAAGCTGATATGAGATTCGGCCAAGAAGGGGAATATAAGGACCTATTGGAAAGGAACGGAAACAACAACTCTGAAACAACCGACCGGGAAACCGAATTCATGCGAAATAGCCGGTCGTCTCGTCAGGATGGTGCCACCAGGGGCTCGCTGACAGATATGCGCAAAAAATCAACGCCATAAAACACACAGGCCCCACAATTCCGCAGGTGACGCTGAAGGCGAAAATGACTCGAATGCAAAGATGTGCCTCACACATGCGACGTGCTCAAATATCAAACAATATCAGGGAAAGATCCCAGACTGCAAGTGGCAAGGTTCACCAGGTCACACACACACACAGACTTATCGTTGAGCTAAAGGAAGCACGGCATGTGCCAACAACATGGCCTGCTGAGCCGTGGAGACCGTGCTTTTGTTCTTCTTGTTTTTTCTCCTGAGTTTTTTGGACAGTCTACAACTGGATTAATGCATTAGCGATAGCAAGAATGCCAGGAAGCCCTTACTTGGTGGTTCCCATCCATCCCCTTACACCTTTTTGGCTTTTCAGTGTTTAGCGGAGTTTCCATTAACCAACCCAACTGAAAGTAACACTTTTTGCGGGGGATCTGAAGACAGCTCAGCACCTGCATTTGCTTTGTCACATCCCAAAAACTATTTTGCAGGTGGTGAAGGTACTCTGTCAGAGCGGTGTGAACATGGAGACACCCATGCGCGAGGCCCGAGGGAGCAGCGTGAGCTTTGGTTGTTTTCGGCTTGCGGCTGGCTTGGCATTTGTCAGTTTCTTTCTTTAGCATGAAGGCGATCCCAATGAGACTTGTAATTTTGAAGGTTCGTTTGATGGGGCCGTGTGTTTTTCCAATCACGAAGCTTTCTGGGCTGGAGCTAATAATCAAACTGTCCCTCCGGAAGAACATCTACAGTACGTGCTTGAGCTTGCTGCTTCCTGTGTGTTGGCATGATTGACCTATGGTGGCGGCCTGTCAACGATACGATCTTTCGCCAGCTGCTTAAAGAGCCTGCGTGACCCCGTCTTTTGAATTCAAAGCGAGTCATGCAGCAAAGGACTGAGTGCATAGGTGTCCTGTTTAGGCTATTTTGATTAGAAATAGATGGCACTGGTTTAGGTTGGTTTTATTCCATTGACGATTGAGTCCGCTGACTTTGCGTAAATGTCATTGTCTCGTGAAGGCTTTTCGGTCACCTGGCTTTTTTAGGCCCATCCAACAGATGCGGCAGATAAGCGGGTTGTGTTTGACGCAACTTTCTGTGGGTCGCAAGGATCTCTCGGCCCTCACTTCCGCAGCTCACGCATGATGTGTGAGCTTTCTGAGTCGCAATTGTCTAGATTTTTGTTGGCAGCTTGTCCACTTGCTTTGCCTCATTCAACGTTGAATGGGCACAAAACAACGCTGCATCGAAAGACACTAGTGGAATCCGGCCTGAATTCACCAAGCATGTCAGCTCGTGTCACGGGTTTAGGACGGGTCACGCTGCCCTGCGTGCATTGTTTTGTCAGCGGCACACTCGTAGCCGATTTACATTCATGAGTATTGCTTCAATGGCGCCCCAGCATAAACTGCCGGTGGCCACAACTCGCTTGACCCGCCAGGATCTCATCCTGGCATCGGTGTTTCTGAAGGGTGGCGTGCGTTGGCCCCAGCTCGGCTGCCGCAGTGAAGCCTGGGACTTGTGCCAGAGGATGGTTGTGTGGCTGCGGGTCAAAACCAATGGCACCATTTTGGGGTAGGTGCACCACCCATTTTAGTCTATTTCAGTGGGGATTGGGATGTTCGCTGGGGGTACGGGCTTTTGACCCATGGCCATGTATATGGCCAAATCCATCCAAATCCTACATTCTTAGGGTACCGGAGCTTGAGCTACGCCTGCACTGCGGTGAATCCTAGAGTTCTCAGACTTAAGCGGCTCGATCAAGCGCAGTTTGGCCGGTTGATTTTTCTCTGAGGCCCAACTCCCAAATCTTCCTCTGCGATCCGCCGCAGGACGGGATGGTGGATGGGAACAAGGGGCTGATACTGTACTGATACTATGTCAATCCCGGCCAACCAGTGTGACGGCAGCAAATCAAGAGCATCATTAGTTGTGTATGGATATGCATCATTGGATGACATTGCTCTGTTTTCAGAGGCCACCAGGATCATTGGGGATCCTTCTGGTAAGCTAACTGCTGTGATAGCAGCAGACAAGTACAGTATAGGCTTGGGCTCAAGACCACACAAGTAAGGTCTCTTGTTTAGCAAATTTTGGGAAGTTTTGGTTGCCATCATCTTCTTATGGCTGCTCAACTGGGTTGTCAAGCTGCAGGTCTGTGTCTTCAGTTTGCTTAAGCAATGCTGGGGTATGGCTAATGGACTTCCAGCTTGAAGGGATCAATCATAGTTTGAGGTTCTGGAGTCGGGATGGCGACAGCGGGAAAAGGAGGGGCGCACATCAGGGTTGGGTTTGGTTTATTTGTTCGACTTGCGCCTGTCAGGATGCCCGGTGCAAGCGCAGCGCTCAGCATCAGTGGACCACTTGGGTTTGCGAGGTTCAGTCAAATCCAGTGCCTCCCATATTTTCAGGGTGTGGGGTTTTCCCGGTGCGGTGAAGTGCAGAAAGTTGTGCTGATATTGCTGGCAATGAGTGTATGCGTTCCACGTCATCAACATTGTGTGAGCTTGACGTGGGTAGTGTGGCTGTTCGGGCCAGATCATCAGGATTCCGACAGGAGTTCTGGTGAAATTCGCAGTTTCCTCACAGCCGTGGCACAGTTTTGCAAAGCTGTGCCGTGTGTCGGCGCGTCTCTTTGTATGTTTGGGCGTGTATTGTGTTTCACCTCAAGAAGGTCACCAGGTGTACGTGACAAGTAGAGTGTTTTGGATCAGAAGCGAATCGGTGAATTGAAATCGGTGAGCGTATTGGTGATGAAGGTGCCCTGCTTGCATGCCCCCAATGAGCCGTTTTGTTGTGTTTGAATTGAACTGTAGAAGTCTGCATCTATTCCGTGTGGCGGACCCCCACATTTGCTTGCTGTCACGGTCACGAAAGAAGAGGAATCCAACCGTTTGAGCAGCTCTAAAAGGCCCTTTTTCATGTCAAGCAAGAGTTGTGTCATGGGAAGGCCCCGCGCAAGCAAACCCCGCAAGCCGGCGTCAGCACTTTTTGGAGACATGCTGCGTAACCGGCCGCGCAAGCTCTGCTTCGTGACTCCTTGCAAAAGTTGTGCAATGCCTTCCAAACCACAAGGGTTGCTGCCCAGCTGATCGAGGCGTGTAAGCCGGCGCAAGCAGGCGAGTAAGGTTTGCGTAAATTCTCGCCTAGCACGGCAGTCCGCTCGCACACGCAATGATGCCGCAAAAGCCGTTTCTTGATTTGCAGTGAAAGCGCCAGGTTGACCCGCCTGAGAACAATTCTTCATCAACTTCCTACTCAGATTCATCCATGTCAATATATTGAGCAGCGGCCGCTACATAGAAAAAGGAGACCGCGTAAGCAATTCTTGAGGGGAAATGCCAAAAATGCCAACTGTAAGCAATGCGTAAGCTTGACATGCTCGCTGACTGCCGCGCAAGCTGGGCAAAGCGCTAGCTCGTGCGAAGCAGCCACATAGGGCTTCATGGGGTATTTGTAGAGCAGGTCTTTGTTTCACCAGCACAGCTTTTCCCCGTGGGTTTTGGTTTGCGGGCGAGTCGCGCTGCCCGCAAGTTGAGGCAAGGCGCGACCTCACTGCATGTAGCCGGGGCCCTGGTGGGGCAACATGAAAACTGAGAGAAACTGAATGGACGTGTGGCAGCGGTTCTTCCCGAGCGCGTGCTAGACATGTGCGCACGTGGCAGCAGGTCAAGACAGTCCTTGCTAGCCGCTCTGGCAGGAGGGAAGCACCTTTACTGCCTCGAAAAGCTCAGATAGTCTCACCAGACCCAGCTTCCTGTAGGGCTTAGGTTTTTGGTCTCTTAGGCATTGGCCCGGGGTTTGGTTTCAGGTGTTTAAAGCGAACTTTCCGCTTACTGGCAGGGACGGCACTTGTCCATTCCAGCAGTGCCGGGTGTCTATTTAGATCAGTTGCCCCAGGAACGACGAACATCTTTGGCATTTTATCCTTTCGCGTTCGAAGGGCCGCCGTTCCCGCTCCACCAAGGCGAGTCCTGCAGTCACGAACATCTTTGGCATTTTATCCTTTCGCGTTCGAAGGGCCGCCGTTCCCGCACCAAGGCGAGTCCTGCAGTCACGAACATTTTTGGCATTTTATCCTTTCGCGCCGCCGTTCCCGCACCAAGGCGAGTCCTGCAGTCAGCATATATATATATACATATGAGCCACGGACAAAACACACGAAGACCACTTTATCAAGGCGGGGTACGTTTTTGCATAACACATGCAAAAACCATGCAAAACGATAAGGTCTCCCCCAAAAACGATAACCCTTAGCTAACACACGGCTCTACAATAACCCCTGCAGTTGCCACTTAGCTAGGGTGGGACCCTTGCGTGGCCACCGTAAAACGAGAAGGCGAGTCGCCACTTTCGAGCTGGAGCTGCCAAGGTGTGCTTCGTAAATACGACACTTGTACTGAGAAGTTGCGATTTTCGAGCTGGAGCTGCGGAAGTGTACTTCGCGTACTAGACTTGTACTACAAAGTTTCGATTTTGGAGCTGAAGCGCTGTGGAAGTGTACTTCCCGTACTAGACTTGTACTACAAAGTTGCGAGTTTCGAGCTGGAGCTGCGGAAGTTTACTTCGCGTACTAGACTTGTACTACAAAGTTGCGGCTTTCGAGCTGGAGCTGCGGAAGTGTACTTCGTGCACTAGACTTGTACTACAAAGTTGCGATTCTCGAGCGGGAGATGCGGAAGTGTACTTCGCGTACTAGACTTGTACTACAAAGTTGCGATTTTCGAGCTGGAGATGCGGAAGTTTACTTCGCGTACTAGACTTGTACTACAAAGTTGCGACTTTCGAGCTGGAGCTGCGGAAGTGTACTTCGTGTACTAGACTTGTACTACAAAGTTGCGATTTTCGAGCTGGAGCTGCGGAAGTTTACTTTGCGTACTAGACTTGTACTACAAAATTGCGATTTTCGAGCTGAGCTGGAAAGTGTACTTCGCGTACTAGACTTGTACTACAAAGTTGCGATTTTCGAGCTGGAGATGCGGAAGTGTACTTCGCGTACTAGACTTGTACTACAAAGTTGCGATTTTCGAGCGGGAGATGCGGAAGTGTACTTCGCGTACTAGACTTGTACAAAGTTGCGATTTTCGAGACTGGAGCTGCTGCGGAAGTGTACTTCGCGTACTAGACTTGTACTACAAAGTTGCGATTTTCGAGCTGGAGCTGCGGAAGTGTACTTCGCGTACTAGACTTGTACTACAAAGTTGCGATTTTCGAGCTGGAGCTGCGGAAGTGTACTTCGCGTACTAGACTTGTACTACAAAGTTGCGATTTTCTGAAGCTGGAGCTGCGGAGCTGGAGCTGCGGAAGTACTTCGCGTACTAGACTTGTACTACAAAGTTGCGATTTCGAGCTGGAGCTGCGGAAGTGTACTTCGCGTACTAGACTTGTACTACAAAGTTGCGATTTTCGTGTACTTCGCGTACTAGACTTGTACTACAAAGTTGCGATTTTCGAGCTGGAGCTGCGGAAGTGTACTTCGCGTACTAGACTTGTACTACAAAGTTGCGATTTTCGAGCTGGAGCTGCGGAAGTGTACTTCGCGTACTAGACTTGTACTACAAAGTTGCGATTTTCGAGCTGGAGCTGCGGAAGTGTACTTTGCGTACTAGACTTGTACTACGAGCTTGCGGACTACTAGACTTGTACTACAAAGTTGCGATTTTCGAGCTGGAGATGCGGAAGTGTACTTCGCTTACTAGACTTGTACTACAAAGTTGCGATTTTCGAGCTGGAGCTGCGGAAGTGTACTTCGCGTACTAGACTTGTACTACAAAGTTGCGATTTTCGAGCTGGAGATGCGGAAGTGTACTTCGCGTACTAGACTTGTACTACAAAGTTGCGATTTTCGAGCTGGAGATGCGGAAGTGTACTTCGACTAGACTTGTACTACAAAGTTGCGATTTTCGAGCTGGAGATGCGGAAGTGTACTTCGCGTACTAGACTTGTACTACAAAGTTGCGATTTTCGAGCTGGAGATGCGGAAGTGTACTTCGCGTACTAGACTTGTACTACAAAGTTGCGATTTTCGAGCTGGAGATGCGGAAGTGTACTTCTCGTACTAGACTTGTACTACAAAGTTGCGAGACTTGTACTACAAAGTTGCGATTTTCGAGCTGGAGATGCGGAAGTGTACTTCGCTTACTAGACTTGTACTACAAAGTTGCGATTTTCGAGCTGGAGCGCTGTGGAAGTGTACTTCCTGTACTAGACTTCTACTACAAAGTTGCGAGTTTCGAGCTTGTATTCCGGAAGTGTACTTCGCGTACTAGACTTGTACTACAAAGTTGCGATTTTCGAGCTGGAGATGCGGAAGTGTACTTCGCGTACTAGACTTGTACTACAAAGTTGCGATTTTCGAGCTTGTATTCCGGAAGTGTACTTCGCGTACTAGACTTGTACTACAAAGTTGCGATTTTCGAGCTGGAGATGCGGAAGTGTACTTCTCGTACTAGACTTGTACTACAAAGTTGCGAGACTTGTACTACAAAGTTGCGAGTTTCGAGCTGGAGCGCTGTGGAAGTGTACTTCGCTTACTAGACTTGCACTACAAAGTTGCGATTTCTGGAGCTGCGGAAGCTTAGTTCGCGTACTAGACTTGTACTACAAAGTTGCAACTTTCGAGCTGGAGCTGTGGAAGTGTACTTCGTGTACTAGACTTGTGCTACAAAGTTGCGATTTTCAAGCTGGAGCGCTGTGGAAGTGTACTGTACTAGACTTCTACTACAAAGTTGCGATTTTCGAGCTGGAGCTGCGGAAGTTTACTTCGCGTACTAGACTTGTACTACAAAGTTGCGACTTTCGAGCTGGAGCAGCGGAAGTGCACTTCCCGTACTAGACTTGTACTACAAAGTTGCGATTTTCGAGCTGGAGCTGCGGAAGTGTACGTTGCGTACTAGACTTGTACTACAAAGTTGCGATTTTCGAGCTGGAGATGCGGAAGTGTACTTCGCTTACTAGACTTGTACTACAAAGTTGCGATTTTCGAGCTGGAGATGTGGAAGTGTACTTCGCTTACTAGACTTTTACAAAGTTTCGATTTTCGAGGTGGAATTCCGGAAGTGTACTTCGCTTACTAGACTTGTACTACAAAGTTGCGATTTTCGAGCTGGAGCTGCGGAAGTGTACTTCGCGTACGAGACTTGTACTACAAAGTTTCGATTTTGGAGCTGAAGCGCTGTGGAAGTGTACTTCCCGTACTAGACTTGTTCTACAAAGTTGCGACTAAGTGCACTTCGCGTACTAGACTTGTACTACAAAGTTGCGATTTTCGAGCTGGAGCTGCGGAAGTGTACGTTGCGTACTAGACTTGTACTACAAAGTTGCGATTTTCGAGCTGCAGATGCGGAAGTGTACTTCGCTTACTAGACTTGTACTACAAAGTTGCGATTTTCGAGCTGGAGATGTGGAAGTGTACTTCGCTTACTAGACTTGTACAAAGTTTCGATTTTCGAGGTGGAATTCCGGAAGTGTACTTCGCTTACTAGACTTCTACTACAAAGTTGCGATTTTCGAGCTGGAGATGCGGAAGTGTACTTCTCGTACTAGACTTGTACTACAAAGTTGCGATTTTCGAGCTGGAGATGCGGAAGTGTACTTCGCGTACTGGACTTGTACTACAAAGTTGCGATTTTCGAGCCGGATCTGCTAAAGTTCGAAAACACTGTAAAACGATAAGGTCTCCCCCAAAAACGATAACGTTCAAAAAAGTACTAGGGCCAAGTAAAGTTTTTCGTCCGCTCCTCATATATAGAGGTTGAAGGGTTTACACTTCACTACGTACTTAAATCCAACAAACACAGAATTCATGATATGTCGTAATCCGATGAGCAACATGTAGTTATTTAGCGGCCCAAGGTTGCCTTCGCTGCCTCAAACCTCGAATCGCTCGAATGGCCTCCGAGGCGGCGCTGCATGGGCACGTAGGGGTTGTCAAGGAGCTCTGCCGGGGTCCCAAGACTTCAACTCTCCGACCGCTCATGCCGGTTACCCGGTTCCGCATAGCTCCTGATTGATACGAGGCGGTCTTTTGCTCGGATTTCTGAGCTCGCGTTGAGTCCCAAGGCGAAGCCAAGGCGAATCTGGAGGCCAGGATGCGGGCCTGGGCCCCGAGCGACGAGTGGAGTTGGATTGATTCGCGTCCCAATGGCCCGGCTCCAAGCTGATCCGTCAGGTTTCCAGGTTGCGCTTGCGTTAAACGAGCCTTTAAAGGCTTGCGTTAAACGAGCCTTTCAGCTGGCCCATTTTTAGTCAAGTCCTGAGTGAACCTCAAGGCGGCTTCGCCGCAGCTTTTTTGGCTGTGAGGGCATCCTTCTGGCAGTGGCATGGGGAACTCGCTCTCCCCGAAGGACCGGAGGGGATTTTCACAAAGCCGTTTCAAGCGCTTCCAGGTGAGCCCGACCGGGGATCAATGAGAGTCGTCGGAGTCGTTGAGGGGAATTTCCGGTTTCCTGCACATCCTTTTGGAGCCCCCAAAAGCAGAAAATATGTTGTTGATTTTCCGTTCTCCAACGAACCTCCCCGAGAAGTGCTCTAGTGTTTTCCATTCAACAAAACACCTGCAAGCTGCAATGTGCCGGCTGTATTGGAGCTCCCCCTGAGGGATTCCTTTATCTTCAGCAAGCAGCTGCATCCATCTGCAGTTTCTCTGTGTGTTTTCTTCGCAATGCTTCGGATCACAATGGCTCGGCAAAATCGGTTTCCCGCAGCTGACGTCAATAAACCATAAACTTGGTTTCCGTCAGCCATTTCTTCGTTCTTACGCTTGTCGTGAATTTGTTTTAGCTTGGTGTTGAAGGCTTATCCATGATCAAAGTTTGGCGTTTCACCTTTGGGCATGGGGGCCATCAACCTCCGGTTCTATCCTTGTTCGCGAAGGCGACAGATCTGCTTCTGCGAGTTTTATCTACAAATGACCCTGTCATGCCGGCGAAGAAGGAGAAGCAGCCTTTGGAGGATGCGATGAACCAACGGAAGTCGCTTGATGGAAATGAGTCCAATGATCCCGATCCGATGACAAACCATGCCCTAGCATGATCTACATGGTTTGGACTCCGAAAATGTGCGGGTGGTTGTGATGAGAATGACTGAAGGCGATCTCTAAGAGCTTTGGGCGAACTAACGCGCACTCATAGCATGCCTACGCGCCTTCTTTTGTGTCGTTTCATTCAAGTCCATTTGTGACATCAAGTTAGTTACTTGGCAAGTTCGCTACTTTTCTAGTTGGCGCGTCCAGTCCAGCGCTACTGCAGCCCCCGCCCGCCCCAGAAAAGCAGGTTCGGCAAACGGACAGCCAGGTTTGCATGACGAAGCCAAGCAAGCGCGGCATCGCAAGTCAGCTTAAACAGTAGGGACCTGTGCCGGAGCCACGCACCCTTTTCTTAAGTGAGCTAAACTGTTGTTGTTGAACATCAATCCTGTTTCGCAAAGCAAATGAACAAACAGGCAACAACAACAACAACAACAACAACAACAACAACAACAACAACAACAACAACAACAACAACAACAACAACAACAACAGCAGCAGCAGCAGCAGCAGCAGCAGCAGCAGCAGCAGCAGCAGCAGCAGCAGCAGCAGCAGCAGCAGCAGCAGCAGCAACAACAACAACAACAACAACAACAAAGAACAGACAGAGAAACAAACAAAGAAGCAACAAACAAAACAAGCGAGCAATGAAGCCATCAAGCATCAGGCATATTTCCGTATTCGCAAGCGAGACCAAAAAAGCCTTGCGTTGTCAAGAGAGACTACAGAGGGACTAGAGTGCCCTCGCAAGTGAGTTGGCAATTCTGCCAGAGCCCCCCAACGCACACAAGGCTGATAGGGTTTGACCCAGGCCTGTTTCAAGGAATCCGGTCTGTGACTTCGAGCAATAGTACTTTGGGTTTCTTCAATTAGCCTTGCGAATCGTGAATTTCAGCTTATTTGAGGCCTGCACTGTGCTCGTTTCGATCTGCAATTCGAGTCTTCAAAGCAATTGGCAGTCATGCAGCCCCGCATACCCCAAAGGCGCTAGCAGGGGTAGGTTCTGAGGAACCTTTTGATCGTCTTAGCTTGGCAGGCAGTATATAGAATATGCGTCATTCGCAGTCAAGCCCTGTTTTCATCAGTTCCACCGATTTAATAGTACCGCCTTGCTGAAAGTGATGACGTGCATCTGCCTGCTGCTGCTGGCTGCGTATGTATTATATTGTTCCCTACACACGACGGAGAGAAGGGCCTAGGGGGGGATCGAGCTGGGCCGAACGGGCATTGCCTTTGCTCAGGGCACCGGAGATCCCCACGCGCTATGTGAAGGCTCAGGGGCCGTGGGTGGCCAGCAAGATCCGCATTTCGCGCTCGCCCTCGATGCATCCCATCCACTTGTTTCCTGGCGAGTTCAACAGCTGACACAAGTCAACAGTTGTCAGACTATATCGGGCGATAGTTTCGCATGTTTATCCGTTAAGCCTCAGGTTGCTTCTTCGATTCAGGTGCAAAGCCAGAGACTTGTTGACATGAGGCCTGCCATCCGTTTTAGATGTTGTTGTGTCCGCTGATGCTGTTCTGTGCAACGGGCTCGAGCCCACACGGGGGTTGTCTCTGAGGTTCCAGGTGGAGGTCTATGGCGCTGACGGCATCAACTACGCGGAGAAGAAGAACGGGGGGTCTGCCCGCCAGTCATCTCAGCACTTTCCCAAGTCATGGCCGCGCAGGCTGCCAGAGGCAGAGCTACTTGGCTTTTCAGCTCGACCTTTGGAAGCTGGCCTCGGAAAGAAAAACTGACATGCTGTTCTGGGGCTCAAATTCTTCTACTTTGGTATCTTGTTTCTGTTGTTGCCGTTGTGTCGCGCAAGTTCTAGCTGCTTACAAGCTGAAGCTTCAACCTGGCGAGGTGTGTGATAGATGGCGATCGCTGCGAAGGCTTCAATCACACGGCGCCGCAGCCGAGCGGCTGGCTGGAGGTATCTTTTGCTGAGCGAGCGGTGGAGGCATTTGCCATTTTTAACATGCTCGGGGAGGAGACTTGCATCTTGGTCACCATCACAGGATCTTTGCATGACAGTTTCTTGTTTTTGCATGTGGCCGATGCCGGTGAAGCAATTGCATTGTGGAGGTGCGATTCTTGTAGGTCTTGCTGGTTGTTGCATGTAATTGTGGGACTCTTTCACGCAATAGCTGACCCCATGGAGGGGGGGGGGGTGGGGCACGGCCTGCGAGCCAAGGCGCGCGCGCGGACGGGCTCCTGGTTCAGCTATTGGACAGCAGCGGCCGGGTCGTGTTTCAGCACAGGATCAACGCCAAAGAGGACGCTGCTCTGTTTGACCCCAAGCTTGGGTGCTGCCAGCAGTGGGTGAAGGAGGATGCGCAGGTCATCGCAAATCTCAGCATTTCCCACAAGGGCTCTGACGAGGTGAAGGTGAGTGCCTTTCAGTTGAGTGGCGCTAAGCTGGCAGAATTTACCGTGAGCCTCTCACAGCCCGGTGCTATTTGGCAGATGCACAGAGGTATTTCTTGGCAGTCTGGTGTTCCCGCACATCGACTGGGCCTCGTTTTGGGCGCTAAGTCATTTCGGCTCAGTCGGACAGAGCTGCAAGATTGCACGTTAGCTGAGCTATTTTGCCACTAGCAAATGTGGTGTAGAATCAGTATCATGCAGAAACACTCTGCTGAGGCAGAGATGCCATCTGTCATTTCACTGTGAGCAGTGTCAGTGTGGGCAGTTTTGTTTTGTATAGCTCGGGCACGAGCTTGAACATGTACTGTATTTGTTGCCATGGAAGCACTTGCGGTTGCAAATAAAAGTGCTTATTTGTGGCACCTTACATGCTCGAGCTATTTATTAGTTTTCATTTGCCCTCTCCTTGGGCCGTTTTACCGGCTCAGGCAGAGAGCGCAGATTTCTGCTGGACAGCTTTGCGTGGCAAGACCTTGTACTCGCTGTTATCTTGGATGCAGTGCACTCATTCTTGAGACTGGCCCGTGTGACTGCCGCTTTGTGGGCGGAGGCACTCGTAATTTCCGGAGTGCTTGTAGCCTCCAGTTTTAGCAGAGCTACAATGCTACCTTAGCTGGCTGTGAAGATCTTGGTGCCGGTTCCGAGCTGAGATTCGGTTTGAAAGTGTCGGGGCGCCTTGTCTGTGCTTCTCGTGCAGTGTATATAGTTGCTTTTCTCATTTTTTCCGCCCTGGGCTTCTTGGCGTGATTATTTTGCAAAGGTGAGCAAGGTTTGTGCAATTGAGTCACCCGATTGCCTGAATAGCGGCCAGGTGTCCGTAACCATGCTTCAGAGGCCATTACCTAGTTGCAGCTCATAAAAGAACCACCCTGCTCAATTTCATGTGCCCTTCAAGCTGTGGTGCATCCAGCCAGGCCATGTGATTCGATTGGTCACAATGATTCCCGTTTCCCCGAAAGGTATGACCATGGATAAAGTGCACCGATAGATTTCCTTGCTTTTAATGCTGAGTGGCACGAGCAAAAGCGATACGTATAGTCATACTGACAATGTTTTAGGAGTGACACTGGATGCCATTTGTTTGTCTGGTGTAACAGATCAACGACTTATCCTCCTGCTCTTTCAGAGGCAGAGGCACGTAGAGGGACCTTAGTTTTGCTGCTGGAAGCTGCGCGAAAGTTGTTCGTACAATCAGCTGTTTTAGGCTCTTGGGCTCCTGAGAAGGTTCTGATTGCCAGGATGGGTAGGAGAACTGGAGAGGAGAGTCGCAGACCAGTCTAGCTCTGATTTTTTCTAAAGGGGCAAGCGGAGGGAAAGTGTAGATTGTAGACTGATCGTAGACCTCACTGCCCGACATTTCTAGGGTCAAGATGAACCGTTACAGATCCGGTGCCTTTCCGTATTTCACTTGAACCTGACATACCTTGCACGCCTGAGCTGTTATGCGCCCATGCAGGAGCTGAATAAGGGTTTGTCGCGTAGCTTGTGCCACAAGATGCTTGCAAGCTGGGTATTGCCATTTTTGGGGGTGCCGGCACTTGAGCTCTGATGCTCGTGCCTGGTGCCTGAATAATCCATCCCCGCTGAAAGCATTGAGATGTCACGAGGTGGAAAAGAAAGTGCCAGAACACATTGGTGATCTGAATCAGTCCCATGGCACATGTACGGATTGGGGGCAGCTTTGATTTGAGCCATGTCCACAGATCCCACAAAGCGTTGACAGTCCCAAGGCTGCACGTTGCTGCTGTGACCCAGGTGTGTGGCGTGCCGTGAAGGCAGCAAGCGCAAAGGTTTAGCCCAAAGGGTTTGGTAGTATGGAACAGACAGCCTCCATATCAGAAACCTGTCACCACAGGTTTTTGCCATTCTCTCCAACGGTGACTTTCAGCTCAACTGGTTTGGCGCCATTTGCCACCGGCGATTGTAGATGTGGAAGCCAGTGTTTTCCTGGGGCCGTATTCGAAATCTCTCAGAGAGTCGATTTACTATTCAATCGTCCAAGTCAAGCATGACGCAGGACCCCAACATCAGCCACTGAGTTATTTGTTGCCCCTGGCAAGCATGATGTCTCGGGGCGAGGGTGCCACGGTCCATCCAAAGAAGAGTGAGCGACAAGTGGGCTGCATATTTGACAGCCGCCTTGTCAGTCTCTGTTCGAGCTGAGCAAACATTATGTTTGAAGGTCTCCACACATGGACAACAAATACACGCGGATTCCTACCCAGACAGCACAAACATGCACAACAAAACCAATTACCTTGGCAGGTGTCTTCCTGCAATCCGGTTCTCTGCATCCTGCTACTAGATTCTTGAGATTTGGGTGAGAACTTATTGCTGGAAGCGCCGCAAGGTGTTGGTCATGGTGTCCCCTTACAAACCGGGTTTTGCGGATCATGACATTTTCTGGCGTTGTGCGCCCTGCAGTCTGGGCGTTCAAAGGCCGCGTCCAAAGCCTTGTCCATCGCTCCAGTCACAGCATCGTTGGTGTAGGTGATGAATAGATGTTCTACGACCGGCCAATACCAACCTGCGTAGGAAACTAACATGAACTGCGGAGCACGAGACATGGTTCGTTGTCATTGACACAATTGAACTAAATCATCACACCTCGACCTGTTACAATTCAACATGTTGGGTTGCCGGGGTGGGCTGGCCCGGGACGATGGCGAGTTGAAAGTGCATCGCGTTGAACAGGTGCTCAAATGTGCCACGAATCACTGCATTTTCAAGCATGCCTCCCAGGAATGTCGCTTACCAAACCCTGCAACTTCGCGTACCCGAGATAACAACTGGAGTACGCTGCCATGACAGTTCCACATTTTTTATCAGGCTGAAGGCTTCGCCTGCGCCAGCTCCCCATTTGGTGGCCGTCCCCAAACACCAACAAGTCACCCCAAAAGCAAAGAGGGTGCCCTTCCCAAAAAGAAGCCCTGCCGTCAAGCATCAATTCTGTCAGCGGACGTATAAGTATATATATATATTGTTTTATTTATTTATTTATTTATTTATTTATTTATATATATATACATTTATAGTTATATGTTAAATATATATATATATATATATATATGTATATTGATATATACATATATACATACATATATATATAATTTATATATAAACATATTAATATATATATATATACGTACATGCCTCCGTAGAGCATCTACGTACCGCACATCTTCATGCCACCACTTTCGCAAGAACGGAATGGGCGATACCTTCGCCAAACGAAGCAGTATGACCAAAGCTAAACTTGCAGACTCCATCTGCTTGAGCACTCAAGAAGGTGCGAGCACGTTACGAAGCAGTCCTGCATTACATCACCCCAGCCGAACAAGCACCCCGCCCGAAAAAAGCGGTCGCCTCTCCTCTGCTCTCATGAACGCTATCGTCCCCACCCCACCCCACCCCAAAGAGCGGTCGCCTCTCCTCTCATCAACGCTATCATCCCCACCCCACCCCACCCCACCCCACCCCATACCAAAGAGCGGTCACCTCTCATCTCATGAACGCTATCATCCCCACCCCACCCCACCCCACCCCACCCCACCCCACCCCACCCCGGGCCAACCCCCCCCGTCAACCCAACATGTTGCTGCAGGCTATAGCATATGATACATGTCAATTATACATATACTGCGACATAGATGTGCGTTTGTAGTTTGTCGCTGTGTTTGCCTTCTCGCTTTGGCCCGGCGAAAGCAAAAGATCTTGGCTCCGGGGGATGGATCGATCGCTGAGGTCGGGTCCACCCCCCTGCTGGGGGCTGCACAAGCAGGTCATGCAGAGGTCGCCCGGAGTCCAAACGGTCCATTGCGATTCGCAGGCAAATCTGGGAGCATCTATGTCTATGAACCCTTCATCTGGTCCAGGTGTTGCAGGTCCTGTACCACCGGTACTGCTCACGCCGTGCCGTGGAGACCACAAGTCAGGCTAAGAAGCGGAGAAAGTCATTCGGAATGATTTGGGCACGTCAAGATTTGCTGCATTGGACTCAAGCCATGGAGAAGAGAAGCACGGGGAGATGGTCAAATCCAAATACCGCTTGCCCTGAATGTCATGTGCTTTCAATGTTTGCCGTTTTGGGTTAGGCCTTCTGTGGAGCACAGGTTGCTTAGAACAGTTCTTAGGAGAGGGACAAAGGCCAAGGAGCAGATCTTTAGTGCAAGACCAACCTGATCGGACGGGCTAGATGGGCTCTCTTCGACTGGTTGTTGCACCATTGTCGTTGAAGCATGTGGAAGCCTTTACCACCGGACACCAGCCGAGGTGCGATACCTCTGCGGGGCCAAGGCTAGCGGCCTGCTCTTTTGGGAGCTGAGAAGGTCTCGAGTTGTTTGACAGCCCGAGCCTGTCGCAACCAGTCAAATGTTGAAGCCTATCCAGTCTGGATCTGCCCAAATAGTTAGCAGATATTGTTTTTTTGCTGAAGTCGTTCATGAGATTTGTTGCAAGGGTGCCATGCCCGTTGCAGTTGACATATTGCTGAAAAGAGAGTCGTACGTGTTTCTGAAGCGCGGAGCCCAAGACGAGGCTGACAAACGACCAAGGTGTTCGATGAACGGATAAGGTACGTACAAGAGAACACCCACTGCAGCACTTGAAGGAGGGAGTGAATGAGGGAGTGAGTGGGTGGGTGGGTGGGTGGGTGGGTGAGTGAGGGAGTGAGGGAGGGAGGAAATCCGGAAATGTTCCCTTCACGGATGAACTGCCATAGCATGTGTTTGGGTGTTTGACGTTGCGCGCCGCCGACAGAATCAGCAAGCTCAAGGCAGAGGTTACAAAGCACTGAAGCACCACTCGATAGCCTGCAGAATTTACTCAAAGCTTGAACTGGCTGGTCAACCCCATTGTTGACTCGGAAGAGACCCGGCCATGTGCAATGTGATTGTTTTGTTTATTTTTTCCCTGAGTCATCAGCAATGTTTACATTATTAAGTTTCAACCGTCTTCTTGTCTTGTTAGCTATACCCTGGGGTTCGGGGGCCTAAAAAAGAAAGGCCTTTAGGAAGCGGCCGTGAAATGTGGGGAACGTCCTTTGTTTGCAAGCTGGACGTTTTTAATTGGGTTGACAGTTTTGTGTTGGCCGCATCAGTAGCCACATGGCTTTGCAGTGCTCGTGGCTGAAAAGTACGCTGTCCAAAGCCTCGCGAAAACCATGTAGACATGTTGAAGCTGGTCAATGCTCAAGGTCTTCAACTTTGTGGGATTTCTAGAGACATTGAGCATGGGCTTAGCAGTGGGACATCGACAAGGGAAAAGCGTGAAAATACCGTGAAATTGGCGTGAACGCCTTTTTTTTGCAGTGAAAGACCGTGAAACACCGTGAAATTTGGCAGGCGAAAAACCACTCGCATTCGTCCTGGCTGGTGTTGTTTTCTGCTGGGTTTGAAAAGGTCTTGCTGAATGGATGTTTCGGGAAGACCATGATTGTTCCATTGATGATGCAGACATGTGCTGCTTTAACGTTGAGGCCTTCGCAAGTCTTGCTTGGTGTGGAAAAGGCTTGTTGCTGACGATGTACAGTTGGAATTCCACCCAGGCCCCCGTCCCCCAGCTAGTCAAACAAAGGATGTTCATGTAACGGCCTTTGTTTTAAAAGCCTTTTACCCCCCAAGGTATAGAGTCTGAGACCGAACCAAGCAACCAGAGCCACCTGTGAATGGCATTCTGTGGGGCTAGCTAGAAAGATGTATTAGCCTGTCCAGCCAATGTACTGTATTCGAAGATTATGTGTGTTGTTGAAAAACTGCTTGTGCTGTGTCGGAGCCAATGCTCTATATGCCTCTGACTCCAGTGTGGATGCGTAAGTTCCTGCAGTTGCCAAAGGTCTGCTATGATTCACTGCGCGGGCGCACAGTACGTGCCATGACCAGCTTTGCACAACAAGTTTCACGTCTACACAGTTTCTAAGTTGCTGCCGACATTCAACATGGCGGCGCTTCATTGCAAAAGACGACAGCTGGTCTACAGACAGCACAAATACAACGCTAATTATTTGGGTTGGGCTGCGTCGTGTATGCGCCTGGAATTTGTTGCTTGCTGGCGATACTGTACAGTTGTTTTGAAAACCAGGGCCTCTATCCCTATCCCTGAGTCCATTGAATAGTGGGTAATTAAGTCAGGGAGATCCTCAAGAGTCCAACGCTTGAACCCCGGGATAAACCCCAGGACCTGGTCTCATAGTTATAGGTTAAAATTAAAAGGGCGCTAAATATGATTATGGGTTAAAATTTGACGATCGGTGAAACGCACTTGGCAAGCGAACCGGTTTGCCCTTTGAGAGCGTTGACTGCCGCGCAAGTGTGCTCGCTGGCCACAGCCATGTGTACATCTTTAGCGCTTGCGGGAACTGCCTTTGGCCTAGCACATGGTGGGATTCGGCGTTTGGCAAACGTCCTCAAGGGTTTTCGGCGTCAACCTGGGCTGTAAAACTGGGGTTCATACAGGAAACTGGCCAGCCACACATGTGCTCGAAAACCCCTATGAACCCCAAAATATGTGGTATGAACCCCAGTCCGGTGGTTATTTGTGGCTTAAAACCCTATAAACCCAAGCCTGTGGTTTGAAGACCGCGCGCCCCTTCAAAGGTTGCCAACACCAACTGTGACTTCGCCATTCTTGGAAGATCTGAAGGTGCCCGTTCTGACTGGAAGCAGCTCCAGCGATTGGCTATCAATCCCAGTGGGCAGAAACACCGGGGGCGATCCGCGTTGCAGGATTGAACCTTGAGGGGGACTCTTGCGATGACAAATGCGAGCTTCGGAATCAATCAAATCATGTATTTCTCTGTATTTTCAGGGGCCCTTGCAAGATGGCCTTTGGAGACAGAATTCAGCGAAATCCTAGCTAAGCCTCAACCAGGCCTTAATTAAGGCCTAGCTAACGATGAACATTCCTGGGGTTTACCTAGGGGTTCAAACATAGTCCTTTTGAGATCCCTGCGTGAGCAGGCCAAGTTTGAGGGGCACTGCGCAGACAGCGGCGCTCTCAGCTTGAGTCTGGCTCAAAAATGATACGGACAGCTTGATTTGAGCTTGATCCCACCCCCTTTTCGCTGTGAGACTCTACGGGGCGGAAAGGTTTTGCTGGGAATTAGACTCGGAGAACAGATGGCATGACTGAGCTGTGGCTCCGCGTGTGTGACATGCATTCCGTGGCACCTCACACTATCTGAATGCGTTCATTCCTGGGGATGCATGCTTTGTTGCGTGGGGTAGTTAGATGTAGTTAATACTGTTTGTCTTCCTGTCTTCCAGACTTGATTGTCGTTGACGAGCGTCACAGGTAGATTACGCAATGAAAGACTCATCACATGAGAAACTGCCAGCTCATGCCAGCCCCCACGAAGCGAGCGACCCTGGACGGTTGTCACCATGGATCCAGCTCAAAGTCAAGGCAGAGCTAGAGCTGCCGTTTGCCAGTTGTTCATTGACACCTCTTGTTGCCTTGCAGTTGGCAGGCTCTCCAACAATGGTCAACCCCAGAAAGGGTTCTTTCGGCACCACAGAGGAACTTACAGCTTTCCAGGCGAGACCCCTCTCATGGCAGCCGTGCTGCGGGGGCACTTGGAGGTGGCACGGGTTTCTTTTTCTTGCCGCAGCCGGGTCGGGTTGAAGCATCGGAGCTGGTTTGATGGCGGGAATCTGTACCGGGAAGTGGCAGCTGTGTTTTTGTTTTGCAACTTGTCGAACAGATACAACAATGAGATATTGATGGAGTTGGTGCAGGCTCGAGGACTGCATCCACGAGTGAGTCACTTGACAAAGCAGAGATTGGCAGGTTGGTGCTCGTGTAGATTGCTTTTGACAGCTGGATTGCTGTCGTCATCATCATCATCATCATCATCATATACCCGGCTTTGAGGGTTGCAACACGTTTGTTCATCCTTTTGAATCGAGGCTTCCTTGTCCAAAGGAAGGAAAGCGCTCTGCTCCAGCTCTTTGGTGTGCTTGAGTTCAAGGGGACTGAGGCCAATGGATTGATTTGCTAGCTTGTTCCGCAGGGTTGTTATCCCACTGTACAACAAATGCATGTCTCGAAGCACGCGTGATTGCAGAATGCCGTGTTCACCTATCTTGAACCTATGTCGACACCGCGAGTCGCGTCATAAAGCATGCCAATGGTGTTGACGCATTCCTTCGTCCATCCACCCGCCTGCCCATCCACTCAACCACTACGCCCGTCCACCTATCCACCCATCCACGACCCAACCACCGACTCTTCCATGTACCCGAGAACAAAAGCAAGCAGCCTAGCGGCAGGTGGTGCAGGCGCTGTGTGAGGTTAAGGCGCGCCAGACTTTTGAGCAGAGCCGAAGGGCCATTGGTCCCGAAGGTACTTTGAACACTTTCGACCCCTCTGGAAAACATTGGAACTGCAAGGCGTGTTGAAAGTAGCCCGGCGTGGGTTGCCACCGAGGGCTTGCCTGTTCGGGCAAATGCTTCGTTTCAGTCTTGTCAATGTCTATCCGTGGTTTACAACCGCACTGAAGGTCGGAGGGCCGCTAGGAAATCGGCCCCAGGCACACCCTAGATCAAACTTCAACGCATCTCAAGCATCGAGATAATGCTAGATGACCCGAACCCTCAAACTTCCATACACTCGTCACAATCATGTGAGGCTACCTCAAATCATCCCCAACCGCATCTCTAGTAATCCCCATGCTGCTGTAAGCAGTGCAGCAGCCGTACGGATTAGAGACACACTGGCCTGTGAGTTCTTGATCTTGCAGGACGCTGAAGAAGCAGGCGTTTGCCTCATCCTCCGAGGGAACATGGAAGGCGTTTTTGTTCTTCCCCCGGGTCCTTGGCAGATGATGGAATTACCCAAGTCTCATGCCCTTGTCAATGAAATACATGCATGCGCAGTCATGTCCAAGTCGAGATCCCCAGTCTTGTTGCTTCACATTGATAGCAGATGGGCAAGCACATCAGTTCGCCACAACACGTTTCGACACCCATGCAAGCTTCTAGATTTGCACAGACGCTGTGTTTTAGAATAGTTGTGTTCTTAGAGCTCAGTTTCGATGGACTGCTATTATCCATGTTATTTGAGTACCTCAGACAAAGTTCACTGATGAGCTGGTTTGCCACGCGGCGCCTGGTCACATGCCATTTGTACTCAGCCTTCGAGGCTGACCCTCAACGCGCAGGGGGCTGCGGAACGACGCCACTGCTTGGGATCCTAGCCCGATTTCGAGATTGGACAGGATGTTTGAGTCAAGGGTCTTAGCCCAGATCTTTGGCCAGGCCCCAGTTTTGATCCAATGTGCCATGGTTCTAGAGGAATCTTTGACTTTCCGGCTGGACAAGTGACTTTCCCCTTCTGGTGTAGGAGAGAAAGACCCACTTTTGGAGAAGTCCCCCGAGTTTCTCGCCGACTCGACAGGAGAGGCAAACCCTGGTTCGAGGGGATTGCTGGTCACATGTTTGCTGCCAACCCACTTCCGTCACTTCCCGCTCATTGTGGCTTGTTATCCGAGTGTATGGATCAGTGCTGTTGGCCCTGTTTTTTGGGTTTTGGCGGCCGTCTTGTTTGTGGCAATGTTGCTATTGTTTGCCCTTGATCCTCTTGGCCCAATACTCCACTCTCCAGGCTTCTGCTGTTCCGGGTTTGCAACCTACTGCGCAGAGCTGACCCAAATCTTCTGGGGTTGATTCACTTTTCTGGTAGTCTATGGTCAAGTTGGGAGTTGAATGGCGGAAGTAGGACACTCATACCGACAGACTGGCACCCTCCCACTCACACACAGCAGTCGGAGGTTCGCAGCGCAGATGCTGGGCCTAGAGGAGATTGCCAGGGCCCTCGATCGCGGTGTCTTGGGGTTCTTTTCTGGTGTTTCTTGCAACTATTCAGCGTATTCAGTAGCTATGTTGGCTGAAGCCTGTTATATAGACTGAGACGAGCCTTACGTGATGCAATGCGTTTAGACATAAGGTCCCCTGAAATGACAAAGCGAAGGAGCACGCGTTCGTCAGAGTGGCTCTTGGGGCTCTTCTTGGGGCCTGGGTTTTGCAGCGGGGCGCCTTTAGCATAAGTCAAGAGTGCCATGATGTGCCGTGTCCCGGAGCCCATCAAGATTGCCCGGTCCGTGCACCGTCAGCGGCTCGCTGATTCAGCACTCTATCATGTAGCTAGAGGAAACCGCGGCCCCTCTCAGCATCCGCGAGGCTTGTGTATTGCCTGACAGTTGCCACATTCAGAGCCGTTTTTAATATTGTGTCGCCGGAAGTGGTGGTTGTGGTTTGAGTGTGTGATATAAATACAATTAAATATGTTTGACAATGCATGCTCAATATGTTGTTTCGCTGACAGTATCTTGTGTCAGCTTTGCTCGCGGGCATCACATCCAAGCAGACGACGTTCCGGCTTTGAGGCTGCCGTCTTGAGGGAGAGCTGCCGTGTCCGGACGCCCAACAAGCTGAGTTTGGATGGCGCCTGGACTTCACCATCCAAACTGCGGGTCGAGTGGGTCAATATGAGTAGGTGGTGTTAGGCGTTGATACTGGCAAATGTTTCTTCTTGGATGAACTGCTGCGGCACTGGAACACAACAGGGGCGTGCGCTCAATTTGTAGAACGTTTTGAACATCCACTACTTTGTGGTTAGTAGTAGCTGAAGATGGTTTTCAGGAAAGCTTGCTGTTTGCGCTGCTTCGCGCTCCATTTCTGCAAATGGGCTTCAACTGCCTCTCAACAGGCAAACTCTGAGGCAGGGTCTAGCAAGTCACAAGAGACTAATAGATAGATCATAGAGCGAACTGCCTTGTAATATTTGTGTTGTTCTGCATGTGCTTAACCCAACCCCTCCCCCCCCCCCCCGGTCGACCCTCACAGGAAACATGGCCGATTTTCCCAAGCGAACTCGGCCCAATGGGATTGACATACCTTTGGGCAAGTGGCCATGGGACTAAGGCCAAGTGGCGCCCACGGCTAGGCCGGGCAGTGCCTTGAGCTGGCAATGGCTGATTGTGTGTGCTACTCAGAACTTATCCTTCTTTCGTCTTGATTCAAAGAGCCAAGAGGCAACCCAGTCATTTGATCGGCCACACACGCATGGGGTGTTTGCTCATCAAGGGTGATTGCGAGGCATGGGCCTGTGAAGAAACACACACATCCTGAGCTACGAGTCATACATGATAGGTGAGAGCCCTCGTTGCAGCTATTCAGGTGCACAAGCATTAATTTGTGTAAAAACGGACCGAACATTATCAAACTATGTTCAGCCGAGGAGGAGGCAAAGCAACAGCCGTCAAAGACCACCGTGTGGCAAATTATATTCTGTTACAGCTTCTCATTGTTCAGTTGCATGCTGCATTCTCGCTTTGAATTTGCAAGCAACAAGGTACTTTAATCCGTTCCTCTTAGAGTCACCGAAACCTAAAACGCTTGATAAGGAAATCAGTCGTCTAGTCAGCGCATTTCCCTTGTGTTGCGATTGCCACAATTGGCTTCACCATGCTGTACATTGCAGAAAGAGACTTTGAAGTATCTCTTTCTCTTTGCACATAATAGTTGTAAATGCTTCGCGTTGCCCGCCTTGGCCACTCCTGGCTTTGAGGTATATACTGTTTAGTTTGCCTTGAAGTGTTGTGTTTGTTAGACTGAGTCGGCGCCGAAATGCGTAAGCTGGTTTCTAAGGAAGAGGGTGGGTGCATGTCCGCGCGTTTCGACATGGCTTCAAGGGCTAGATAGAACGAGATCTGCAGAGAGGTACAGAATGGTAGTGGGTTTGGGCCGGTGGGGATTTGACCGGTGGACCGGTTTTTAGGGGGAATTGGGCAGGTTTCCAGTTTGACAGATGCTACGGGCCTTAGAAGGCATCGGCCACTGGAGGAATTTGACCCAGTTGCTACGGCTTTTGGCAGGGGTTGGATTGGTTTCCAGGGGGTTGTAGACAGATTTGACCGGCTTCTACGGTTTTTAGAGGGGATGTGATCGGTTTCTGGTGTGAAATTGTCTGGACAGAACCGGAGTTGGACCGGTTCTTGGAGTTGGTTGCTAGATGGGAAGTTGACCGGTTTCTGGGTCTGGGGGGGGAGAACGTGCATATTAAAACTGTGTACGCATGTTGCAAATGGGAACATGGACGCGGGGCCTCAAGAGTACGTTTCAAACATCATTCTGCATGGAATAAATGTTGCATTTATTTGCATAGCTGTTTGGCATTGTTCAGGGGTCTGAACTAATTGTTGGTTGAGTTCATGGAATAAATTGGGGTACGGCCGGGTGATGTCATTTTGCAGGCATGAGTTTTGGTCAGTTCTTTTTGCATTTGGCTGGGGCTGTTTTGCCCTCAACAGTATAGCGACACCCTGCGCTTGCCCAATAAGCATCCTAGCTTCAAGTGATATCCATACGGCGTGACCATGCTGTGACATACGTTCATCAGGTTTCCAAACCATGTTCTGTTTAATCTAACTTTGGGTGATTCTCTCACGCGACCGCTGAAACCTGAAGGGGGGAAGTGTGTGTGTGTGTGTTATATAGTATGATCGCACGGAAGCAGGTTGCCTCCATGATCGATTCCGCCCCCGGGACTAGCAGATCCGGCTTCATCCTTTTGATGCGGCGCCAATTTTATTTTGTGGTTTCAATTTACTACATGCCTTTTTACGACATGCTGCAAATGCATGATTACAGCAAACGGACCTGCAGGTGCAAAAGGCACCAAAGAGCCTTAGGGGTCAAAGACGTGCTATCTCAGCCATCAGTTTCTGAAGTCTCTCCCGTGGGCTGGGCATATCTGCGATGCTTACTGTTTTAGAAGAGCAGGGCACCATTATTGCTGGGCATCATCTGTTTACCAACACGGCGGCTTGCGAGCGTTGACAGACCTTATGTCGGAACCCAGGCATGCAGTTGCAGCAGTTAATGTGTGGCTGGCAGGCATGCAAAGCTGCTGTCGTCGCGCTCGATGAGGGCGTGGGCAGAAGGTCCCAGGTGGTGCTTGACGTGCAAGCGGAACCACTTGGCTAGCACTTCCGCACCTTTTATGACATTGCTTTCGCTTGTGGTCAAGGTTACATCAATAGCTGTTAGTTTAGCTCATGAAAATCATGATGGTAGACAGTCGCAACAACCAATTCTTATCACTTATAGGCAAGGAACCAACCAAGGCTTTGATTGAGTCTCATTGTTGCCATGTCCCAGGCAGGTTCCCCAGCGCAACGTAAAGAGGTTTCCCTTTGCCCTTGTTGCCATTGAGCGGATGAGTTCGCTCAGTCGAGGGATTCAAGTGGCTCTGAGGTGAGTCGGCTCGCGCGATCGCGATATCATGGCGGCAGTTGCGTGCCTGCAAAAAACAGGTGCCATCCAAAAGCAGAGCTATTGCAACCCGGACATGGACAGGATCCTCACACAAAGGTCACACAGCTACACGTCTTTTGTAGCGGGGAGCGTTGGCATTTGACAGCTGTTGCGCTGTCCAGATATGGGCTGTGCATGAGCATGAGCAAACATGCACACAGCATTGTGTTGTTTGTGCGCTCGGGCCACATGTTGCAGCAGCATGCGTCGGCGCTTAGACCACAAAGTGGTGCCAGCATGGGATGCCGAAAAAAAGTGGTGCTGCTGTGTGATCACATTCCTTTAAACAAAAGCTGCTCATTGCCTTTTCTCGAGTCAATGTGGAAGCCTTTTGCGCAAGACTCGGCTTGAAGCATTCCGGTACTTCCGGTCACCGCCCTTCCTTCAGGCAGAAGGGCCGCAAGCTGCAGAAGCTGAAGAAGCTGGACCCAGACTTTGGCAAGGCCAGTCGCATGGTCCATGGGGGGGGAGGCCTGGGAAGCCAAATGCGTAGGTGCTTTGGTGGTTTTTTCCCTGGCTTTTTTCTTGGCTTCTCTGGAAAACACGCTGAAAACGGGGATGTTTTCTGGCCTATGTTGAGATAGACCCTCTTTGAAGGACGTTGATGGTTCCCTCATTTGACGTGGCACATGTTTTGGGGAGACAGTTGGCTGAATTGCCACAGGTTTGCAGCGAAGCGCGCCATGGGATTGAGGAGTTTGCCTTTCAGGGCTTCAATGAAAGGTTGATGCAATGCCTGAAGGCGACAGCCGAAGTTAAGCACGACTCGCTGCAGCCACCAAGAAGGTGCAGGTTAAAAGAGCCGCGTGGATGGAGCGAGACGCTTTGTTTGTTTCTTTACAATTGCCTGCGAACTCGTGCTGAATCTGAGGATTGGCCGAATCTCCTTGTTGGGTCTTGCTTCAATTCCTGGCTGGTCAGGTCATGAGCTTCGTGCAGAAGCACAGCCGCGCCAAGCTAGGCACGTTTGGGGCTGTTTGTCAGAGGCCGAGCATGTCGGATGTGTCGAGCAACACTTTGTGGTCTGTCGTTCTACTGTGAAGCGTGTTTGGCTTATAGATGAGGACATTGTCACAGTGACGCAGCTGTACACAGACACACATCTACACACCCAAACTTTTGGGCCGGGTGTGTCTATGCTCAGCATGAGACTGGAATGCAATTCTGGAACGCGTCTGAAGAATGCTGAGGTAGGCAGAAGATAAAGCTCCATTCACTACCAATGTTCCTGAGGACACCTGATTGGACACACCTGCATAGCATGGTTTAAATGGTGCAGCTACATTGCAAAGAACCGAACTGGAGCTTGACATTGCATTGTTGCCCATACAATACTCGACTTCTTGGCAGCAGTGCTGCACCTCATTTGCCAAATAGTTTCAGTAGCCCCTTTGTTCACCATGTCCCTGATGCTTAACCTATAGTGTTCATGGCCAGGAATCGCTCCGATCAAACCAGCGGTTTTGTTGGGAGGCGCGTAGATGGAAAGGGTGTTTTTTGGTTGGTGGTTGGTTGGTTGGTTGGTTGGTTGGTTAGTTGGTTGGTTGGTTGGTTGGTTGGTTGGTTGGTTGGTTGGTTGGTTGGTTGGTTGGTTGGCGCCTCGGTAGGACGAAGGTTTGGAATGGGTTCAGGGTAGGTAGGTTGGGGCAGCGTTTTAACATCCTCAGCATTGTTTCAACATCCTCAGCATCACCAGCTTTGGTTGGCTGGGTTTAGGGTGGGTTCCAGGTTGGCTCAGGCTTGGCTCCGGATGGGTTCCAGGCCTATTGAGAGCAAATTTGGGGGTGGCTGTGCTTGAGGTGGTTTTGTGCTGGTTTATGGTGGGGCTTCTTGGGGTTGGTCTCGGATGGGTTTAAGGCTGGGGTTTAAAATTGGCTTCGGTCGTGGTTGTGTTTAAGTCCATAAACACAACCACGACCGCAGCCCACCCTAAACCAGCCCTAAAGCCATCCGAGACCAACCCCAAGAAGCCCCATCATAAACCAGCACCAACCATCCACCTCAAGCACAGCCACCCCCAAATTTGCTCTCAATTGGCCTGGAACCCATCCGGAGCCAACCAAAGCCTGGTGATGCTGATGATGTTGAAAACAATGCTGAGGAAGTTAAAACGATGCCGGGCCTTAACCTACCCTAAACGGGCTACCCTAAACCCACCCCAAACCTTGGTCTGTTAGTGTCTCCTTTCATGCATGCCAGGCTGTGCCAGGGTTAGGCTAATGCCAGGGCTATGCAAAAAAGTACACCTCAGCCGCGCGTAGATCTATGGTCGCATGGCACTGCCTCGCGATCGAACCTTGAAGATGGCATTGCCGCTCATCCGCTGATTTCAACCTCTGCAGCTATGGCCAGATGTCCCCACATGTCAAGAGAACCGGGACACATGCACAGACACTGTGATGAACTCTTGTCAATGGAGCCTGGGTATGTAGCATCGCATTTGCAGAGAGAACAGACCGGCCCAAAAACCACGAATCATAGAGGAATGCACCAGGAAATCAGCCAGTAACAGTAGATGTGAGCCCAAATCACCCATATGAAACACTGGGCAAGGAAAGCAAGATGCCAGCGTTGCGTTGGGCACTTAAGCACCGATGTTTGTTTCCATGCGCTCACTGGCCCTGTTGAGCTTGAGTCTGACGGCGACAGCTCTTTCAGGAGACGTGCGCCTCGGCATGTAGCGACTCCGTTTCTAGAGTGAGGGCTCCCCTGACAACATGAGCGGGTGTTCAAATAGTGGGACCTTGAAAAGGGCGGTTTACCTTTGGGTTTCCCTTTGAGCCAAGGTGAACATGGTACCTTCAACAAGCACACCTTCATGAATGCACTTTGGGGCCCTAATCTTGTGAACGAGCTTCTATGTTTGTGTGGGAGGGTAGGCTGGTGAGACGCAGCTGAAAGGAAGAATTGCTTTTGTCCCCCCCACCCTCATTGACAGGAATGTTTGTAGTTATGTCTGTGTTCAAGAAACGTGTTAGTCACTTGGAGGATCATATATTGTTGATGGCGCTCGTTCTGACTGTGTAACAACTTAGTCAGGATTCGGATCCCGTGGAAGTTATTTATACTGCGCATGGCAAACACTGGTGCCTTCTTGTTTTGGGCATGTTGGATTGGGAGGCTTTCATCCCCTCCCTTAAAACTCGTGGGGTGCTGGAGAGGACCCTTCTTTCATTCGTCGCGCTACCGAAAGACCACACATTTGGTGGCACTTAGCCGGTTTGCAATCTGAGGTGTTTGTTATTTAAGAATGCGCTCAATTGCCCTCGTTGCAGGCATCGCAGCCCTGACTGGCTGTAGCCGAAGTAGGCCTAATTATCATAGCCTCACCTAGGCTGAACTCGATGCCAGCGGAGCTCTTGGGTATGGGTTTGCGTGTAGCATTCCCAAGCTCAGAGATCAACTAGACACGCCTTTCCCTTTTCCCCGAGCATGCCATGTTTGCACTTCCAATGGTGTAGGCCCATTTGGTTACATCTTAGTTCAAACGGGCCGCTAACGGATATGTGCACATGCTTTGTGGGACTTCTATTTAAGGCGCTTCTTGGCCAACAAAGTTACCGTGGTATTGATTTTGCGTGGGCCCCTATCGGTGTATATCGGTGCGGTACTTTTGTTCGCTGCTCGCGGGGATTTCTTCAAGGAGCTCAGGGTCCACAGCTTAGGTGTCCCGGTAAGTAATGGTTTCCTTGCGGATGCTACACAGAGCATTGTCCTTGGTGCAGGAACGCGTTCCTTGCTGCTTCTCAGCAGGACTGAGGGAATTAGCCGTTTAAAAAAACAAAAAAAAAAACATCCACCTGGCTCGCCAGTTGCAGCTTTTTCCATGAACTTTACCCCAAAAACCAGCAACGGTGACCGGAACAAAAGCAGCAACTTGGCGATCTAGGCACTTTAGATTTCAGATCTGGGGATTCATCGCTTCATTTTTAAACGCCTGTTGACTCCCGTTTTCCTTGAACCGAGGCCGCTCTGGGGCCGGAACCTCAGCCTTGCCGCACCGGAGCTGGCTCAGTCCGCGGCGCGGCTGGGCGGGAATTTGAGCGGGTGGTGTCTGTTCAAGCTTACCCTGTGAGTCGGTGTTTTCAGGATACCAACCAAGAACCTTTCTAGGGGTTGATTCCTTTTTCATTTTTCAAGCATCGTTTTTTTTCAAGAATCGGCTGTTTCCTCTGGGTTTTTGGTTTCCTGAAAAGATCCGGATCCCTGGAAAGAATGGAATTGGAAGGTACCCCTAGAACCTTGTCAAAATCCTACAGACACCTTCTATTGGAGGGGGGGGCCTCAGTGAGAGCAAACGCATGATGAAAAGCTATTGGAGCGAGGGTGGAAGCTGGACTTGCGGCAAAAAGGGGGAAGACGTTTGGGTGGAAGACGTTCGGAAGAGATTTTAGAAGATGACACCAGAGATTGTGAAGAGACAAAAAGGACGGCGCAACCGGGGGTACCATGTTGAAACTCAGAGAGGTCGCAGTTTCAGGGCAGGAGTTGTTCAGCTGGAACCAGTGGAGAAGCCAGGGCCACTGAGACAAGAACACGGGTTCCAGAATGTTACGTACATCGTCTTGTATCTAGAATACGAGGTAAAGAGGGACCATAGTCTTGCGCAGCTTGGAAGCCCGTTTGCCATCTTTGCACGCCTTTGCATTGTTCAGCGCGATGTGCACGATGAGATTATAAAGGTACCCGAGCGGAGCGGATGATTTGCAATTTCGAAGGGACGAGACGTCGCCAAGCAAATTGGACTTTTCTCATTGTTCAGCATTTTCAGCGAGGCGCAAAAGACGAATCACCTTGGCCCGGAAAGGGGGGCATGGTCCATTGCGAAATGTGTCCAGAGAAAGAGCATGCACCGGACCAATGGCAAAGCAGGCAAATAAGGCAAATCGCACCGCGCTTGCCCATCAACAGGTGTCTTCATGTTATGGATGGGTTGTTATACGAGTACCGTATCATGTTTGCTGCTTTGCTGGCGTTACAAAAGGCAAGAGAAGCCAACCTGCTCTGTGAGGGTCTGTGGCATATACCCTATTTCCTTCTTCCGAGGCAAGTGGAAACCAAGCCCTTGTTACACTTTGTCTTTGAAGAGGCAAGCTTGTGGCATCTTTGAGCAGATTTCCAGGGTTCGGCTCACCTGACGGTCTTTACGCATTAGGTGGAAGTTTTAGGGGCCTGTTGCTCGGGTTCCCAAAAAGCCGGTGCCAGCTTGCGCCAAAGGACAATCATGTGCGTGCTTGTGTGTGTAGGGTCCAGTTGTTCGAGCCCATATAGGGTCATCCAAACCTTGTCCTCCTTCCTAGCCCGCCGGGCCAACAGTCACCGGCATGATATGTTGATGTTACCATCCATTCCCATTGGCAAGACCCGAGGATAGGCAACGGCCGCAGCTTCTTCTACCTTGGGGCGCTGCTGGCTGTGGGAGAGCCAGAAGCTTCGCGCTCCGCGAGATTCCAGGCGCCAGAAGCCAGTTCGCCATTCGTTGGTTTGGATGCCAGCAAAGCTGATGCAAATGCTTGTTACACCTTTCAGATGCAGGCTCTTTTTTTAAAGACCCTGCCGAACAGAAGCATGTATTTAAGCGACAAGGTGTTTTGCAAGTTCACGCCGCATCACGCAGAAGCAGCAATAGACTGCGATGGAGCTTAATTTGAAGCACACCCACATGCACACACACACACACCCATCCCAACAAACATGCACATACACACAACACTTGACCAACCCCCCCCCCCCCACCACGCTAAACCACCACACCACACCGATACACACCAGGACACCGTGACACCAAGTCACCACGACACCACAACACACACACACACACCACATACACACACACACACCACACACACACACACACACCCACCCACACACACACAGACACACAGGCACACACACACAGTCTGCGTGCGGGCGTACGTGAGTGCGTGCGAATCCAAAACCGGGAGGGGGGGGGGGTGAAAGCCACATCCCGTCCTACATGTGTTTGCTGCGTCTTGTTGCTTAATGTTGCTGGCAAACGTTTTGCTGCAGGAAGCTCTTTGCTGATGAAGCTGCGCAAAGAAATACAGATGACGCACGCGCATGCGTGGTTGCTATTTTGCAAGACATGTGCTTGGCTCATCATTGTGGGCATTTTGCTTGGCAGGCAAACCCCATTTAGCATCCCCTCATTGCGGCCTGACCTCGCCATATTGTGTGTGTGTGCATCCAGTTACGCATATTGATTTCCTCCTGCAAGAAGCGGGGAATTGCGAAGGAGCATGTTCAAGGCGCGGGACGACGATGGTTATTCTGAATACTGGGCACCAACATGCTGCACCCCTGTCGGAATGGAAGACAAGGGCCGACATGTTAGATCCAGAGATACTACAGCTGCCAGCTGTGCAAGTTTTGGCCCGCATGTGGGCGCATTCTTTCCTGTTTGCCAACTAGTGGTAAAGAGGGCGCCCCCCCTTTAAAGGTAAGTGGAGCTAGCACAAAATGTGGTGCAGATAGCCCTTTTGCCAAACTCTTCTAGCTCTTGTCAACATGCTTTGTTTTCCATCAAACAAGGTACCTCCCATTTTGGAACGTCGCCCTGCCTGAAGTCCAAGCAATGTGCTGAGGTGTCAGAGGAGGGCTCCATCGAGTTCCAGCCGCGCGGTCTTCAGACGGGCCGCAGCAAAGTTTGTGGATCACAGAGTGTCATCATCATAATTGAATAGAGGTTCGAAGCAGCAAGTTGAGCTTTGTGCCTACTTCCAAGCTCCTGAGCGTAAGGTAGTGCACAAGCTTCCTGGGCAGAAACGCATCAAGAAAGCACGGGCTTCTCATAAGACGTGGTCTCGTCCTTCCGTGTCTTGGCATTCCTTGGCCTAAGGTGGGCCCTCGGCTTGTCTCTGGCAGAAGGGCTGCCTGCGTTGGATCGCCCGGCCCTGGCGTACTACGTGGGCTCCGAGAAGCACGATCCCCTGGCCACGCTCGCCTTCTCCTACTACGCGGCTCCGGCTGTGAAAGGGTCAAGCGGAGCTCGGGAAGGAGCTAGGACTCTTAGGAGTATTTGTAGTGCAGTGGTTGTGTTAGATGTTGGCACGCATTTGCTTTCAATAGGGGCGCACCGGTCTAAAAGATCTATGATCAACACGAGGGTAGACAACTTGGTGTGGCTCCCTCAGGTTTGCCTTCACAGGATCCATTAGTGCCTAGCTCCTTCGGGGCTTGAGCTACGTCGAAACAATGAACAGGAAGCTCATTGCAGAACACAAATGTTGGAACGGATGATTAATTGGCTATGATGATAGTTGGTGAGTGGTTAGTTGGCTATGATGATAGTTGGCTATGATGATTGGGGGAATGGATGATTAGTTGGTTAGTGCTCTCTTTGTGCAACTCTTGATGCCGGATGCCCTGGTTTGAGGCTATCCCATTGGCTTTAGGGCAACCGCCCATTGCCGGGACTCGCAAAACTCTCGGGGCTAGCGTCTTGGAGGCATTGCTGTTCTATGGTAGATGAATTCTCAACAACACATGGCTATGAGATGGAAAAGATGTTCGAACGGTCTTGCTTGAAATTCATACCCTCATGTAAGTTTGGGAATGTAGGCTTGGCTTCGAAGGCAAGGCAGACACTGTTATGCATGCGAAGCAAGGACTTTGAGCTGGCCCTGTTCAGGCCGAGCAGTGCAACGGGGATGCAGCCTTTTCGTATTCAGCCATGGCAAGCAATACCTTGCCCTGATAACCCTCGGCCTGTAGATAGTGAATCTTCCCATCAAGCCCGCCCAGGGCAGTCCAACAACTCCTCAAGCCTAAGTCAATCTCTTTCAAAACCCCAGCCCCACCAAAATCTTCGGATCGCATAGGTCTTCAACGGCCTGACCCTCGGTAGCTCCCCCTGGTGGCGGGGCACTGAAGCGGTGCCTTCCCTGAGCCGCGAACCACAGGAAGGCGCGCGGGCCGGACAACCGATCCAGGATGCAATGTGGGGCCAAACAAGTTGGTTTTTTTGGTACTTGGCAACAAGACCAGCACATTTGGGGCATCTTATGCGGGGAAGGGGCACATTCAGGCGAAAAAGGGTGTAAAATGCTGGATTGGGCCAAACGATTCGGTTTCGAAAGGCAGAGTTGTTTACCTTTGCACGGTGAACAAATCGGAGTGGAGCTCTAACACGTCAATTGCTGCTTCCCCTGTGCTGTATATGATATGGCTTCGGTGCTGGGAAGGAAGGAATGTGCTGTGCTTCTGGCTTGTGGCTAACAGCACCAAGCAGACTGAACAACTTAGACTTATGTTTTACATGTGGGCCGGTCGCGCTGAGCCTCATGATTAGATGATGGTAAGATCCCCTGACAGCATTACTTGGATGGTTTGGGAACTCAGAAGAGTGGGTTGCATCCTCTTTGACCTCTGGCAAAACACCCGGCATCAACGCACAACTCCCGAACATGATCAGACACCGCCTTGGAGTTGAACAAGGCAGCAGACAACGCCATAGGTGTCCTTTTGCAAAGCTAGGTCAGTGTGGTTGACACAAAAACTCTAAGATTGGCCAGAATCATTTACCAGTACCATATGTTGGTCTAACTGGACACCTAAGAGCATTCCAGGGTGACGAACCCGGTGTCAGGCGAAGTGCCACTGCCCTTATGCCAGCTCACGCTGCGGGCACTGCAAGATGTGGCAGAGGCAGCCGCCATGAATGAGGTGCCGCGGGGAGGGGTCTGGTGAGATGGTTTATGTCGAGGAGCGGTCTTTGGTATTTTGAAGATACACAAAGAGGACACCCTCTTTCGGGTTGCCGGATGGTTCAAGTGCCCTTCGGGGATGAGGTTCCTTTCAAGGTATTTGGACCGTTAGGGTTTTAGCAGCAGTCGGACAAACAGAGGGGGACGTGTGTCCCGAAAAGTGAATGAATTTAGGAAGCTCTCCAAACTGGGACAATCCATGTTTCTTCAAAGACGGGGGTTGGTGATCCCGTCTTGCTGTGGGCAAGTCAAAGGGATGTTACACCAGCTGGAGCCGTGCAGACCCAAGATGCAACCAGCCTCTCGCCGTGGGTCCATTTTGAAGCACGGGCAAGTCAGCTTTTGCAGATGGCAGCATCGGCTGGGGCAAAGCAACTAAACACTCAAGATTCTTGATGATGCTGGATGCAACAAACCACATAACTAACATGACTATTATCTTTTCTCCCCAGGCCCCCGATTTCAACATCGTCCATGGTCCTGTAGGACGGCGCCTCCGATGCGGCTAGCGACTTGAACTTCTTTGTGCAGAACGCCTCGGAAGTGCGACGACTCAAGAAGGCCCGGGTTCGCGAGGGTGGGCTAGGGTTCGGGAGGGTGGGTTTTCGGGAAAATTTAGGTTTAGTGCGGGTGTAGGTGCTCGCGATTTTCCGGGTAGCAATTGGAGTTCTGTCTCACACATGTGCTTGCATAGTAAGCATTTGACAAGAATCCAAAGGGAGAAGCGGCCGACCGATCACAGGTGTTCCAAATTTGAGACCTCACCGGATTAAACCCCAAAGAAAGAAGGGGCAACTGGTGTACGTTTTCTTTGGGGCTGTGCATGCGCCAAGAAGACGAGCAAAAGGTCGCGTATTGCCATCCCTACAACTTCTGCACGTGTGGCGAGTTGGTGGTCAGAACGAGCTTTCCTGAAGGTGCTTTGCTTGGGTTTGTTCAATTCAGGCTGGCTTAGTAACTATGGTCATGTGAGCAGAATGATGGTTGTGCGTGGGTGTGCCTAGCTGCTTATTGGCAGTATGATTATGTTTGTGGTAATCTTGTTACTCATTTTTATCTTCAACCTGAACAATATGATATATCACTTGCAGAAACAACTCGCAGGGGCCTCTTGCCTTGTTTACAAAGTCGCGATTGACAAGCCTGCAACCCAAGTGGTTGTTGTTGCTGCTGGACAGATCCCTCAAGTAACTCAAGTATCAAACAGAGTATGTTTGCAGTTGGTCAAGCAATTAGGCAGCAAGTACTCTGAGGATCCAATGGTCTCCAGCCCTTCGAACAGCCCCGCGTGCTCCACAGGAACATGCTGACTGGATCCTGGCACGCTCCCGGGATGGCTTCAAGAGCGCCGAACTATCGGAAGCCGCGTCGCTTGCTGAGACCAGTGGAAACATTTACACCGTTGATGTATCTTGCATTTTTTATTGATCATTTTGAGGGGTGCTGGGCAACCTTGTGGAAACTATACCTTTCCCAGAGGCCACGGAACTGGAATTGACCTTCAAATCCAATTTGGGAACCAACAGGGAAAACCAAAGGGGCTGGAAAGCCAGAACCACATGGACAATGAAGCAACATATATGCAATCAGATTTAAGGGTTCGCACAGGAAACTGGTGGCTAGGAGGTGCTCAATTGGTGGTATTTGAGGTATTTCCACACATAGCCAGGTGTTAGCCAACCCGCACACCAAACCCCTGTGAATGATTAGGAGGAAGCTTCCAACCACGCCGAGGAAGTCGGCGAATAGCCAGGTGTTGGCTCAGGTATTTTATCCACGGGGACGCCGATTTGGAGCTCCGGCCGGACGCCCTGCGCGCCGCTGCTTTGCTGGAGAGCGCAGCGGCCTCCAGCGGCGAAGCGGCGTACCTGGCCATGCTGCTCCAAGCGAGAGAGGGACGCCTGGCGAAGAAGGGGATGTTCCAAGGGGTCGAAGTACATGATATAAATGCGGTCTCTGGGGTTTATGAGTTGATCTGGGGGGGAGGGGTATGAGTTTGTGTCTTTGATTTGGCAGTTGTTGGGGGGTCTATGGGATTTATGCCGATTGTGGTGTTTATCTGCGGGTTGCCGTGACAGCATTCACCTTTCCCAGCAGTTCGCATAGGAGACACGGTACCTTGTGCATAAAGTCGCGGGACTGTCACTCATGTGAAGTACTTGTCATGTGCAACCTTGATTTGGGCAGCCACAGCATGCCTCTCATCTACTTTAGACAGTTATGATATGAGTTTGAGATTGCAGAATTGAACGTAGCATTCAACCACAGTAGGTGTTTACACAGCCTGCTTGCAGCAAGTTTGTGTCGGTTGGTGCTAGTGTGTGATTGAGGCCGCTGTGCAACTTTGGACATTGTCAGTCAAACTGTCCTGGATGCCTTCAGGGCAGTGCCATCAGAATGCTGAGGTTGTTCATGGGAGAATACTGTTGTCCGCGTTGTGCCGAGGTTTCGTAGGGGAACACAGAACCCAAAGGTCATCACTTCTTGGGCTTTGCCACAAATCACAAGGGGCAAGCTTCGCCACAGGTGACGAGGAGCAGATACTGGACAAAGCCCAGCTGGTTATCCAGGACTGACACCCGCTTGAGGTGTTGCCAGTCGGTTAGCAAGCAAACGCGCAAAACACGCACATGCAGGACCACAAACACACACACACACAGAGAGGCACTCACAAACACAAAACACACACGTACACACACACACACACACAGAGTCAGAGACACACAAAGAAATACACAAACCCGCAAAGACTCACAAACACAAAGTCACACTGGTTGTTGTTTGGGTGCTGGCTGGCCGGTTGGTTCCTTGCTTGCATGCTTGCTTACTTGCTTGCTTGTTTGCTTGCTTGCTTGCTTGCTTGCTTGCTTCCTTGCTTCCTTGTGTCCTTGTGTCCTTGTGTTCTTTGTATGTGTGTTTTTTTGTTTGGCTGGCTGGCTGTCTGCTTCGTTTCTGTGGTTTGATTGCTTGCTGGCTTGCGCGCTGGCTTGATTGTTTTGCTTGTTGTTGTTTGTGCTGATTTCCTTGTTTGCTTGTGTGCTGTTTGCTTGTTTGCGAGTTTGCTTTTATGCATGGTTTGAATGTTGTGTGTGTTGTTTTGTTTTGGTGTGGGGTGACAAATGTTGGGTGGGTTGTTTGGCTGGCTGGCTGGCTGGCTGGCTGGCTGGCTGCCTGGTTTTGTTTCATTTGTGTGCGTTTGTGTGTGTGTGTATGTGCTGTATGTGCTGTTTGGGTTGCGCATGTTCTTTGTTTGTATATTTGTTTGTATGTGTGTCTCTTTGTTTGTGTTTGCATATTTGTCTCTCTGTGTCTTTTCCGTTCTGTTTGTATGTATGTTTGTTTGCTTGTCTGCTTGCTTGCTTGCTTGTGTGTTTGGGTGGGTAGTTGGTTTGGTTTAGTTGGCTTCTTTGTTTGTTTTGCTTTGATTGTTTGTTTGTTTGTTGTCTGATTGCTTGCTTGCGTGCTTGCTCGCTTGTTTGCTTGGGTGTTTGTTTGGTTGGTTAACTAGTTGGTTTGGCTTGCTTGCTTGTTTGTATGTTTGTTTGTTGCTTGGTTGGTCGGTTCGTGTGTTCTTGTGTGTGCTTGTTTGTTTGTTGGTTTGTTCGTTTGTTTGTCTGTTGTCTGTTTGTTTGTTTGGTTGTTTGTTTGTTGGCTGGTTGGTGTGTGTGTGTGTTGTTGTTCTTTGCTTGTCTGTTTGTTTGTTTGTTTGTTTGTTTGTTTGTTTGTTTGTTGTTTATGTTTATGGCTGTTTGTTGGGTTGTTCGTCTATTTTATTATTTGTTTGTTTGTTGGGTTGTTTGTTTGTTTTATTGTTTGTTTGTTGGCTTGTTTGTTTTGTTGTTTGTCTGTTTGTTTGTTTGTTTGCTTGCTTGCTTGTTTGTTTGCTTGCTTTATTTGTTGTTTTCTGTTTGTTTGTTTGTTTGTTGTTTGTTGGTGTTGGCGAGTTTGTCTTTGCCGTATTCAAGTATTGTGTTTGTTCATGTAGTTGTTTGTTTGTCGTGTGTTCTGTCGTTGTTTATTGTTGCGTTTGTTGATATCTTGGTGTTTTTTCTGGGTGTGTCGTACTTTCTTAATGTATGTCATGTGTTCTTTGTATTTGCCTGTTGTTATTTTGCGGTGTTTGTATTTATTTATTTCTTGCTTTTTGTCCTTCCGTTGTTTATATATTTTAGCGCCTTCGGCTCAGGCCGCCGACATTACAGGCCTGCTTTCTTATTTGCGTCCTTTTGGAATTGTCCTGGCCTCGCAATTTTGGTTCATTTACCAATTTTTCAAAAGTCAGAGTTTGCCATGCCATTTTGGGCCGCCGCGCTGCGCCGGCCCGAACTTGGGGGGGGGGGTGGGCGGTGGGTTTTCGCAGCTTGGATTGGGCAGCAGCCTCAGATCTTCTCGACAGTGCGTTGTAGAGGAACACCAAGGATAGAAATACTTGTAGCGCCCAGACGCCGTTGAGCGCCAGGCATGCGGCGTGTCGAGTCGATGTCAGTTGAGACAACACATTGTCTTTGTGGTCACGCCAGAGCCACACTTTGTGTTGCCCGGCGCGCCGGTTTACATCCGAGATAGCGCGTGACTGACAGGCAATTCGTTCTCGCAGCTGGCTTGCATCATTCGGATGGCATCCGCGTGTCAAGACACACAAGACGGTTTTGTTCTTTGATTCGGTCTATGAAATAGCTAAAAGAACTTGAGCCTGGAAGCTCGTCGTGCTTGTCCAGCACAGCCCGGCCGTGAACGCGCGCTCGCATGACTGAGTGTTCAGACTGCGTTGTGTTGCCCGGCGCGCCGGGTTATATCTGTCACGCAGAGCACGAGCGCCCAGCTAGCGGTGCGTAACATCGATGTCAGACGCTTGGATATCACAATGTTTGCGTGGACGCCTGATCCGCACTCTGCGTCGCCCAGCGCGCTGGGTTACATCCGTTAAGTAGCGCGCGAGCGCCAAGCAAGCGGTTCGTGTACTTGGCTTCCATCATCCGGATGGCGTCCGCGTTTCCAGAAATGCAACACGGTTTGTTCTTTTATTCGCTTTATGAAGCAATTAAAAGAACTTGAGCCTGGAAGCTCATCGAACACACGCTCGCGTGACTAAGTGTTCACGCTGCGTTCAGACTAGACGTCGCGCGTTGCCCGGCGTGCCGGGTTACTCTGTCAAGTAGCGCGCGAGCGCCAAGCAACCCGCGCGTAGAATCGACGTCAGGTGCTTAGATAGCAGTGTCTCAATAGACATCACGCGCGCGCTGTGCATTTACATCCGTCCCAGCAGTGGCTCGCACAGTGGCAGTAGGCTTCCCTCGCTCGGATGGCAGCCGCATGATCAAGACAACGTTTGTTCATTTATTTGTTTTGTGGAGCTGCTAAAAGAACAGGTGCCTGAAAGCTAGTCGCGCGTTTCCCGCGCAGCCCGGCCGTGAATATGTTCGCACGATTAACGTTGGGCTGCGCGGACTAGGCATTGCGTGTCGCCCGGCGCGCCGGGTTACGTCCGTCGCGTAGCGCCCAGACGACTTCAAGCGCCAGGAATGCAGCGCATTCGGTCGACGTCAGTTGAGACAACACATTGTCTTTGTGGTCACGCCAGAACCACACTTTGCGTTGCCCGGCGCGCCGGGTTACGTCCGAGATAGCGCTTGAGTGACAAGCAAATGGTTCTTGCAGCTGGCTCCCATCATTCGGATGGCATACGCGTGTGAAGACGCGCAAAGCTGTCTTGTTCTTTTATCCGGCTTTTGAAGTAGTTAAAAAAGCTTGAACCCGAAAGCTTATCGTGCTTGTTCCGCACAGCCCGGCTACGAACACACGCTCGCGTGACTAAGTGTTTATGCTGCGTTCAGACTAGGCGTTGTGCGTCGCCCGACGCGCCGGGTTATGCCAAGCAAGCGGCGCGTAGAAATCGATGTCAGACGCTTTGATATCACAATGAATTCGTGGACGCCACATCCGCACTCTTCGGCACCCGGCGCGCCGGGTTACGTCCGCCAGGTAGCGCGTGAGTGACAAGCAAGTGGTTCTCGCAACTGGCTTCCGTTATTCGTAGGGCATCCGCGTGTCAAGACACACAAGGCGGTTTTGTTCTTTTATTCGGCTTATGAAGTATTTAAAAGAACTTGAGCCTGCAAGCTCATGGTGCTTGTCCCACACAGCCCGGCTACGAACACACGCTCGCATGACTAAGTGTTTATGCTGCGTTCCGACTAGGCGTGGTGCGTCGCCCGGCGCGCCGGGTTATGCCAAGCAAGCGGCGCGTAAAGGCGATGTCAGGTTCTTAGATATCACAATGAATTCGTGGACGCCGCACCCGCACTTTTTGGCTCCCGGCGCGCCGGGTTTACGTCCGCCTGGTAACGCGTGAGTGACAAGCAAAGTGGTTCTTGCAACTGGTTTCCATCATTCGTTTGCCATCCGCGTTTGAAGACGCGCAAGGCTGTTTTGTTCTTGTATTCGGTTTACGAAGTAGTTAAAAGAACTTGAGCCTGCAAGCTCATGGTGCTTGTCCCACACAGCCCGGCTACGAACACACGCTCGCATGACTAAGTGTTTATGCTGCGTTCCGACTAGGCGTGGTGCGTCGCCCGGCGCGCCGGGTTATGCCAAGCAAGCGGCGCGCAAAAGCGATGTCAGATGCTTAGGTATCACAATGAATTCGTGGACGCCACATCGGCGCCTTTCAGCGCCCAGCACGCCGGGTTTACGTCTGCCAGGTAGCGCGTGACTGACAAGCAAGCGGTTCTTGCAGCTGGTTTCTATCATTCGGTTAGCATCCCCGTGCGAAGACGCGCAAGGCGGTTTGTTCCTTTTTTCGGTTCACGAAGTAGAGAAAAGAACTTGAGCCTGCAAGCTCATCGCGCTGGTCCCGCGCAGCCCGGCTACGAACACACGCTCGTATGACTAAGTGTTTATGCTGCGTTCAGACTAGGCGTGGTGCGTCGCCCGGCGCGCCGGGTTATGCCAAGCAAGCGGCGCGTAAAGGCGATGTCAGGTTCTTAGATATCACAATGAATTCGTGGACGCCGCACCCGCACTTTTTGGCTCCCGGCGCGCCGGGTTACGTCCGCCAGGTAGCGCGTGAGTGACAAGCAAGTGGTTCTCGCAACTGGCTTCCGTTATTCGTAGGGCATCCGCGTGTCAAGACACACAAGACGGTTTTGTTCTTTTATTCGGCTTATGAAGTATTTAAAAGAACTTGAGCCTGCAAGCTCATGGTGCTTGTCCCACACAGCCCGGCTACGAACACACGCTCGCATGACTAAGTGTTTATGCTGCGTTCCGACTAGGCGTGGTGCGTCGCCCGGCGCGCCGGGTTATGCCAAGCAAGCGGCGCGCAAAAGCGATGTCAGATGCTTAGGTATCACAATGAATTCGTGGACGCCACATCGGCGCCTTTCAGCGCCCAGCACGCCGGGTTTACGTCTGCCAGGTAGCGCGTGACTGACAAGCAAGCGGTTCTTGCAGCTGGTTTCTATCATTCGGTTAGCATCCCCGTGCGAAGACGCGCAAGGCGGTTTGTTCCTTTTTTCGGTTCACGAAGTAGAGAAAAGAACTTGAGCCTGCAAGCTCATCGCGCTGGTCC